GCAAGTTTGATTGAAGACCAGAACATGCTTGTTATTAACAATCTTCTCATTTTTCAATGAGTCGAATAAAATTTCTTGTTGGCGCCAGAACAAATAGCAGGTTACCGAATGACATTTTAATGGAATGCGTTGTTTCGAATATACGATATTCATCATCAAGCAGGTGAAGGTTTTGCAACACTTGAAATTTAACTTCTGTAAATGACATCATCCGACAGACGATCGATGAAGCCCTTACCTTTACGGATTGGACCCCTGCTGTCCATCTCGTAACCGTCGGATTTTCTGAACTTTGAAATTGTTTCAAAGTTATTTAATGGTTCCAAATTTTTGTGTTGTACCATATTTACGTGTATCATGTAACAATTTCCATAAAAACTTTTGTATTCAAGGCTTCCCATAACTTGGAAATTAAAGTTGTTACATTCGAAACGGTGTTAATAAATTAAAATTACTTCCTAAAGCCTGCATTTGATCTACAAACGTCATTTGGAGAATATATTTCGACCCCGAAAATTTAAATCAATGAATTGTCTAGTCATTAAACACCGTGTTTAAATACATATATATATAATATTCTATTATATTAACAATATTTATCCTATATTGGAGACAATATTTAAATTTATTTTCTAGTTGCATGCCAGTACACGAATATATTTTTTTTGTTAGTCAAATATTTTCGAGTCACCGAATCCTTCAGAGAACAACCATGCGGATGTCTATATTTTAACTCCATTAAAACCTCTCACGTCCCGTCGTCTCGCGCTCCTCACAAGAAACATCCTTCTTCGATATAAAAGTGGGCCAAGGAAGCCATGTCACCGGGAATAATAAGATTTAAAATTTCCCTACGGCAGTAAAACAAAAGTGGGAGCCGCAGCCGGGAACTGGGGAGAAGTCAGGGCTTCCCCCTTCGTTTATGCTGACGAACATCCGGTGGAAATGATCCGGGAATCTGGAACGGGAATGGTCCGCAACGGGGGAGCGCCGTGCGTCGGCTCTGGAACGACTTGGGATTTGCGGGCGCGCGTTAGGACGCACAGCTTTGAACACGTCAAGTTCTTGAGGAATTGGAGGAAAGATAAAATCTAGGAAAAAACAGCGATAAATAAAAAACCTTTGTTTATAATTAATATGCTTTATTTTAAAAACATTATTCAAATTTTAATGCTGGAACTTTAAGGAAAAAAATACTACCAAAACTTTTAGGTTATTTACAAATTTTGGGCATTTTTTAAATTCATACATCTTTCATACAGCTTTGCTCGTTGGTATCAACAGTGATCATCCAAAAGCCATAATCACTCATCAATTGCCCAACAGCAACAAATCAACAACAATCAACATCACATCGATCAACAACAAATGGCATCACAGAACTGAACATCTAAAAGCAAAGAATAGATTTTTTCATAATACCGAAGGCTAATCCATTTAAGGAAAAGTATTTTTTTTGGCACACTGTATAGCTAGCTATTTGCGACCCATATTAAAAGTTTTGGTAGCAAATATTTTTAGACACCAGGTGTGAATTAAAATAGTGTAAATATCAAGTACATTCATATGTCACTGTTATTGAGTACAAATGTAATAATACAATTTTTATCCCGCACAATTCAAGCATTTAATAAAAAATTAAACGTAATGAGTCATGAGACGAGACATCGTACCAGAATTTTAATTGCAGAATCACCTCGATCAGTTTGGGCGCCTATGCAGACTCGCTACGTTCCGGTTTCCCTTGAAATTTACAAATCTAACATTCAATTGCAGGTACATCCAACTTGACTATTTTAATTCTGTAGAATTTTATAAAAATTACCCAATTCAGTAAACACTTCAAAATTTAAGCCACTTAAAAGTGTTGGTACGTTCGATAGTGTTTATTTCCTTCTTCTATTACACGATATTATTTATTTTTTCAGGTTTTCCAGTAGATTCGGTCGAACGAATTGACTATTCGAAAATTCTTTAATTTTTGAACAGCTGAAGTATCTGGCATGCAAAACTGTTAGATAGAACATATGATAAATTCTTTTGGCCTTCCCTTCCCATAAATTTTGTAACCCTATTTGAAATGAGCACTATATCCCCAGATCGGACACTAACGCTTTTAGTTAATAATCTTATTTATATTCCTCATTCCTTGTAATAGCCGCTCTTTGCCTTTGCTTGAGAGAAGCAGTTGCGCGTCACTGGCCAGCGTTCCTGAGATTTGTTTACCACCGCAGAGTCCCGCGGCTGTCGCTAAGATGTTATAGGTTGTAAAATTCAGGATCGTCCGCAGACGCGCTGTCTAGGGTGATGCCATCGAGCCAGACCCAACAAAGCCGCATTTATACGGAGGTGCGCGCATCAGTAAAGCCGTAAAACCCAACAAACGCAGATAAACTCTGGCGACTGATGTCGTACTTCCGATATTCATAGTTTTATACGACCCTCGCAGCGCCACTGCTATGGAAACTTCTAGCTTGATAGAAAAGCATCCCGTCGTCGGTACCTGGGTTTGAGATCAACATGATATATGATATAAACGAAGCTCCAAACTACAGTGGACTCAAATCAACTGCCGGGAAGTAGCGAAACTGAATTTTTTATGCTCTAGCTCTATTCTTCTCAGCAATAATTTTCATTGCTTGCATCGTTTGTGTGTTCAGTTCATAAAACCTTCGCGCATCCTTAAAATTAACTAAATTGCCTAAAACTCCTTCAACTTTATTTCTGCTGACTCAAATAAGGCCTGCGTGGATTTTTAAACATGTGGGACTAAAAAAACTCTACCTACCAATTGTCTTAACTATATTTAAACCTAATAGAACGTCTATCTGCAAATTGAATCAGCACCTTCGTTACTTTACTCTCCTGAAGCTCTAATACAAATAAACTTCTACAAGTACACTAATCACCTAACTAATCCGTGATTAGTTCTGTGATTAGTGATAATACACTGAACTAATCCGTGACATAACCAAAAATCTGCAGAACGAATATGGCTGAAAATAACAAGCCATTCGATCGCAATCTTCGATTTCTCCAAGTAGAGAATGAATGTTTTACTTTTAAGTTGACGGTATTAACATCAGTCAGTAACTATGGACATTGCAGACAACTTTTCGAGAGACATGTTATTGTTTCTAGATAAAATTGGTTATTGGCACAGTATCAAACATAAAGAATATCCTGATTTATTAACTTGTACTTTCAAGATTAATAAATTTATCAGATCAATATTTTTATTGACCATATACTCAGCGAACAGTAAATAAATTTAGTTATTTACATCTCCAACTAATAGTTATTCATCGATCGTAACAATTTCCGTATGTATTTTTCTGGTAGAAAATGCAAAACTTTGTTACTCGTTTTCGGCGGATGTCATCGATCTCTACCCTCCCCCCACTCGAACAGGGCTGAGAATTTACCTCGCCTGACGCCGAGCTCAAAGTTTCCGAAAGCAATTTCTATAATTTACGAGGTGCCAATTACTTCATGACAGCAGCGATCTTGATATTGATCTAAAGATGCGGTAAATGATCAAACTTTAACGGTTTGGCTTCGAGGCTAAAGGTTCTAGTTATCAACACTTCACGCGCAATGTTGGATCAGTTGAAATGAACGTTTTAATAGTTCATCATCGACAAATACTTTCGTGCTGAGAAGGCCAACATAAATGAAAACTTTAGGATTGCAAATCGAAATATTATGTCATGGCAGGAAGTGCACAGCATTGGATGTACTTGATTGTAGTACATAAAGTTTATTTGCACGCATTAAAGCCAAAATTGTAAATTGTAATAGTGAGATTCATAAATTACTTCCGGAAATATTATAAATGAATTTTAGTTCAAAATCAATACATAAGCGTGTACTCTCGTGAGAATGACTTATTCTGACCGTGGTGGTTTATTATTAGCTTACTGAAAAAGGAGTTTTGATATAGTGTGAACGCGGACCTAAGTTCCAAGGTTCGCCATGGACGCCGCTAGATTTGACGGCGCTAAAAAACTTGCAAGGAACTTATAGCCTTCAGAATACTTTCAAAGCATTGATACATATGACAATCGCAAAACGCTGTTATGAAAAATAATAAAAGAAATAAGAGAAAGTTACAATAAACAAAACTACAAAAAAAAACACAGAGAATTACAAAAAAACAGCACAATCTATAATATCATTCCCGATAGTGTAGAACCGCATCGGTGCGCAGTATAGGTAACTCGAGCAGACAATCAGGACAGCTGTGCGCTGGTGGATTGTGTTTGCAATGGAAAGAGGAAATAATCCTGGAAGTAAAGGCACTCAGCCAGAGACTTGGTGTCGGATGACTGTCGGATGCGTCGTCGGCGCGCGTAATACTTGTCTGTTGCGTTCGGGCACGTCTGCGAGTACCGCAGCTCAGAAATTCTTATATTGTATTTTGCTGCCCGAATATTATGTTCTTCGCAGAAGTAATAATTTACATAGATACCCTAAGCTGAAGAATGAAGCTATTTATCGATCTTTTATTTTTTTTAGCAAATACTTCGAATGAAATGTAACTTTGGAATGCTCAATTCAACTGACTAACTGTGTTTATGTTGAACTTACAGGCTTCTCAATTTATTTGTGAATGATATTTTAAATTTTATCTATTTTATCTCCCAAATGAATGTGAGCTTGAGCTTCTCCTTCTATCTACAGGGTGAAATTGCAGATATTGTCGAAAATTTTTTGTACAATGTCTGATTAGATATGAATGAAGGTAAATTATTTGAATTTTACAGTTAATTTGAAGTTGATTACCGTGAAAAGTGAACGTTGGTGATAATAAATCCGTGCTGATATCTGTTGAATATTATCTACTAAAAAGATATAATCTAACCGCACGACCGGCAGCTTGATCATTTTCCCTAAAAACGCTAAATCATTTTTTATCATTAATTCATTAAACATTTACGAAGTATTTCTTAAAGGCTCTTTTTAAAATTACCTTTCTTTCTTTTCAGAAGCCACCGGCTGAAGAAGTTACGCAAAAAACATCTTTCAACTGCAAGCTTCAGCAATACCTTCTTGTTCGGGTTGTGCCGGCTCCAATTCTGCGAGACGATTCCTCTTTCCGTCTTTGCTGTAAACTACAACAATTTCTGAAACTGGTGGCCGCGTGGCAAGAACTGCTTGACTCCTCGAAGGACCTGCTAGCAACTCTGGAAGAAAAATAGTGACATATTAGAGAAATAGATAATACAACCTCTAGATATGTCTGGGGAGCCAGGTACAAATTTCAGCCCCACGCATCTCAGTCCGAAATCGTCTTCATTTTCAATCAATCATGCACCTGGGCTTACATCACCATTGCACAATCATCATCCTATAGTTCTTACTCCTCAAACAACACTATCTCCAATGAATTCTAAAAAGAATACAGCCCCATCCCTTTGTAGTCAAAATCTTTTAAACAATTCATCAGCTGCAACTTTTAATATGACAACGTTAAGTTCGTCAGTCTCAAACCCTCATCTACAGACTTTATGTGCAAATCATAAAACCCAGGCTAGACCATCTTCCGCTAATCATAACAATACATTGTTTTTAAATCATACTCTCAAGTCTCATGGAAAACAAAAAGCCTCGTCACAAAATCAAATGTCCGGATGCTTCAGCGTTGCTTTAAATGATTACCCGCCTCCCATGCCGCCGCACTTGCTCAGGAAACTCTCCTGCAAAGACACCACGAGTGTCGGCAAGGTTCGTACTGACATTCAATGTAACTTAATTTGAGTTTGATGTCTTTATATTTATTCATCTTGACAAATAATTGACAGTGAATTGTTGATATATGTATATATTCTTTAATTATTATTAATTGTGTGTTATGGACACAATTTGCTTATCATATTTTCATAAGAGGGCAAATGGTTTAACATGATCGTACAACTAATTTGTGTCAACTATGTTGACACAAATTAGTACTACTAATTTGTGTCAACATAGTTGACATACTAATTTGTGTCAACTATGTGTCAACATAGTTGACACAAATTAGTAGGCATAGTTTTTTATACAAAACAATGATGCTAAAGAGAAGAATTAAAGTTTTGTTAAAGCAACGTACTCTTATTTAATCCAATAACATTATTTACAGTGTTTTATGTTTCAGCTACATCATTCTATACGTTTTCTAGTTTTAACTACCACTATTTTGTAGCTACCATACCAGTTTCACCTCTCCTAGGAAAAAGCCCGTGAGCTAAAAACACTTTCCACCCCAAACTCCCATAAGATCTTGAACAAACTATCATAAACCTCCGTCGGCCGAGCGGTGCATTTTAAAATAAAGATCTTCAGCGACGCTCAGGAGTGTCACCATCATCCATCTGTGGAGGGGTCCTCTTCGTTAAGAGAGTCATACATATGCTAACTTGACCAAGTTGGACACTTTATGCAAAATGTCTTCGCATGTTCGCTTCAAAAACTCAAAAACTTTGTAATAATCTGGCAAGGAAAGCTTCGCTCCCATAATTGAAGACCACGCGTATGGTGTTTCATCTGCTTGGTAAAATCTCATTGTATGCATGTCCGAATGAATATCAAACATTTCTAATTATTTTTTAATAATTCATACGAAGTTATTTTTAACGAAATTAAACTTTGCGAACATGATCGATATATTCTAGTTTTTTTCTCAGTGGAAGTCTCCCTTTCACTTCCTTTACCTCAGATCTAGGGTCTTTAAAAGGGAGAAGAAGTCTTTAACCCTTATATGGGAAGGAAGTTTATTTCTCCTTGAAAATTGCAATATAAACAAATATTCAACGTTTCTTTCTACATATGCTTTACATTATGTCGGCCTCAAATAGGCGAGAGGGTAACAGATCCTGTATCCATCGCTTCAACACATCAGGACGACTTGAATAATAATTACAACAAAATGGGCATTTCAATAAGTTATACCTTATACATTTCTCCGTTTCAGGTAAAGGTGCTCCTAAAAGTTTTCCAAGGAGGAGAAGTGCCAGGGTCCTGCCGAGTGCTGAGTGTGGACAACAGACGGAGATGTGTTACCCTCTACGATCCTGCCACCCCGACCACAGTTCCCCCGCCTTCTTCAATCACCCCCACAAAAATTATCCAAACGGGGGCCGTTCCTCCAAACGGGCCAATAGTTACGAACGCTCTTGCAGCAGCAGCAGCTGTTATACCAAGTGAAGTATTAGCTGGAAGTAAACCTGTCAGCTGTGTTGATGATGACGTGAACGATATAAAAATTAATGGAGATAAAATTTTATCGTCTGCTGAAGGAACCATTGAGAAAAGTAGTATTAGTGAAGATGATTCCAATTTAGACTTGCCAGTCGTCAATTCTACGGAACTCGCGGATACAAAATTGAGTAATGGGACGATTTCAATAAGTTCTGATTGTGTAAGTGCAGGTGTAAATGAATCTAAGAGCGTTCATGATCCAAAATTAAACGGTATCGATGAGACGAAAATGGCAAATAAATCAATTGTTGACTTTAGATCATTGATATGTGATACAAAAAGCAGCACCAAGACCCAGAGTATCGAAAATCAACTTTATGTTTCGGACGACGTCATTCCTGAAGAGAAGAAACTAACCTCCCAGCCAAAGCCTGATGATTCTAATTTATGTTCAGCTACGATAAAAGGAGTCAGCGCACCTAAGATGTTCACCTTTGATGGAATATTCACTCACGACGATTCACAGGTTAGAATTTCAAACCACAGTTTCGTTATCTATTAACACGTTAACTGATTACGGAATTATCGATTATTATTAGTAGAACTAGATTACTAGTAGAACTACAAAGAATAGTACTGATGTGCAATTTTTATTAACATTTATGATTTCTTCTACTAAGTTTCTGAATTGTTTCATTCCAACATGCATTTTGTTGACAATTTTTTTTCACGTAAGCCTCAGTGGAACTCATCATTATATATTATCAATGACTCAACCAAACATTGAACCCAACTATCATTTCAGCCAATTTGTCGCTATGAACGTATTTGTTAATTAAGGTATTCCGAGCTTAAGTTTGATTACATTCTATCCGAGCATACATCCTATAGTATGGACGCCCGTGAGAAAATTTGTAAACATCTGCATGAAAATTAGTTTTTGCTTAATTAGTTTTGCTTAATTAATTTTGCTTATTAATTTTTTAATGGAGTCCGTCAGTACTTCACAATTTTAGTTTCAAGATAATATGTACACTACAAAATAAACGGACATCCAATAAGTGGACGCATGACCGGTAATTTTTCCCCTCCTAATTTCTGTGCCAAGAGGCGGCGCCTAATAGCGGCCATTTAAAGTAGAAAGGTTCGAGTTTAGATGCTTTGTATAAGAGGTAGCGCATTAGCATAGTTATCCCTGAGGCCACATAAACATGACACGCTCGGGTAATTAGTGCTAGGCTCCTGGGGCAGAAGTTAAACACGCGCCTCCGTGCAACTCATCTTATGCAAAGCCGGCCTCCCGAATGACGGCTGCTCGAAAAAATTTAAGCTTTCTTGCGTAGCGACAGTGCGAAAAATTTTTTTTCGTGCAGCGCTGTTGCCAGCAGATTGTTCAGGAATAATTTTTCAGTGTTAGGATATGCGCTTCACAATTTAAGGGGAGCTGTGGCGATGAAGGTTACTGAAGAAGCAAGTATAATATTAGCAAAGATAAAAAAGTTGAATGAAAAAATTAACGACTTTCGTTAGCACTTATGATAAGTCTTCCGTAGTCGAAACTCAGACAGCATTCTCTTTGACCATGTTTTTGTTTATAGTACAATTCCCTGCTTAATGTAGAACAGGACATCGAATCAATTGTTTCTTGGTACGTTCTAATTATTTTCAATGGAAACAAATATACTAATCAAAACAACCTCGTATTAATAATTTGTGTGAAGAAACTTAACGGAAGTGGTCGATTAATAGCCTCCAGTGAAGGATCACTACAGTTACAGTTGTCCATGCTTTATGTGTAACTGGTATTGGCTCACACAGACGGAGCTCTGCTCGGCCGCGCTCACGGACATAATCGCGGCGGCGCTGAGGGGCGCCCACGGCGCTGTCTTCACCTTTGGCCAGCCGCACCTCGGTGAGTGGTGTCTCGCCCAGCAGCCGCACCTCGGTGAGTGGTGTCTCTCCCAGGAGACGCAACTCGGTGAGTGGAGTCTCGTCCAGCAGCCGCACCTCGGTGAGTGGTGTCTCGCCCCGCAGCCGCACCTCGGTGAGTAGTAACGCCCATAAGTCGCTCCTTGGTGAGTGGTGTCTGCAACGACGAACCGTACCTCGGTTGGCTCCAAGGACGCTGAGGCAGTTGTGCTACGCTGAGTAATGACGCGTCGAGCAGTCCAACCGCTGTGAGTGATGACAGACAAAACAGTTGTCCCTTTCTGACTGATGACCAACTGAGCATTCGTGCTATGATGAGTGATGGTACTCCTAGAAGTCGTGCAAGTCGTGCCGCTGTGAGTGATGGCGCATTTAACAATCGTGTCGTGGCGGATGATGATGCACTATACAGTGACTGCAGTCACTACACAATCGTGGTGGGGAGTGATACTTTGAAGTCACATCAGCACTCACTTAACAATCATGCAATGGTGAGTGCTAACACATCCGACACTATATAATCATTTCATTGAATGATATTGCAGCAAACAAATTCATAAATCATTTTATTTACTGTAGTGCATGACATCCCCAAAATTATGGAAAATACTAGGGATAATGAAAACGTATTGATGTAAAATTCGCAAGCACATGATATCAGTTGTAAAGTCGGACATTCGTATCCTGTAGATAAACAGAACTATTTGCAGGAGTGGAGATAGAACATTAAGCAATGCAATGACTTTGATATAGGTCTGCACAACAAAATGCTTTGGCCTGCAGTTTGTGTGAGTTTAGCAGTGCCGAACGAAAGACAAAAATTTGCGTAGGAAATGAAGCGTGGCCAGGAGCGAAGGGCGCAGACCTTAAGGTGAGGCAGAACGAAGTATGCCTGCAACGAGCCTGGCATGACCCAAACTCAACCAAACTTGCCCAATAAACCTGATGAAGACTCCCCAAAAGTTGGGCGATGGTGCGCCATGCTGGTCCCAGACGCCTCGATTGGGCTCGTCTTCGCAAGGCGCGAGCCAAGAAGATTGAAACATTCCCTAGGGCCCCGGACACCTTCTGCCCACGCTACTTGATGGAATTTCTTAGTCTCCAATTGCCACTGAGTTGTATTCCAACACTGTTCAGGCCTATGCTATGTTACCAAACAAGGAAACCTGCACGAAATACAAATCTGTTGCGTCTGCTACCGCAATTCAATTCTCGCTTACAGTCGTCATTTGCTCCGCACTTCTCTCACCACTACATGCGAGAGCAAAGTTGTACTATTAGCTTGACAGAAAAAAAGCGTTTTATTTTTATAGCATCACTCATACTGATGGACCTTAAATATTATTCGAGGGACGTGCTGTATATCTGGGCAAATTGTTGCCCGGTCATGTCATCTTAAGAACACAACTCCTGATGAATTTCCTGTGATGATCGATCTTGTCAAACTTGTTGTCGCATTCGAGCGTCCTTCGCATTCCTATCGAAACTTTGTCATCAGCCTCGTCCGAGGGAAGATCGTTGGGTTTGGATCACAATGTCTACCTGATGGTAGTAGGTCTTAGGACTAACCATGTACATCAGCAGCTTGATGAGTATAAATAATTGCAAAGAGTTCGGGCGCAATTATTGAGGCATTTAAAAGTTATTTGAACTTATTTCCACTAACGTAAAATAAAACGAAAAGAAGAATGTTTGAGAATAGACGGAAACTCAGCTGATAAATTCTTCTCCGATAAGCAGTCTAATTCAGCATCAAAAATCATTACGATGTGAAATTCGAGTTTGGATTGACCAAAGAAAAAAATTTTTATATCTAATATTTATTATTAGAAATATTTTTTTGAAGAAAAATATTAGTTAGGAATTGCACAAAATGTCAAGACATCATAGCCCGTGAGATGGCGGTAAGATCCGGCTTCCTCTCTGTAACTTGGCGTACACAATCAAACAAAATTCAAAAAGCTTGCTCCGTGAGTTGCGATGCTGCCAGGTTTTAATGAGAGACCTCGGCAGGTCTGGACCCTCCCAATTCTCGAGACTTGGCAGGAGTAAAGCAAGTTATATTAGAGGGAAATGTGCTGATACGGTGCACTAAAACCTAACTTCGGGATTCTCGGTGCAGTGAGCCAAGCGTTTCAAGTGGCTTCCTAGAACGGGCTCAAAAGTTCCTTATTAATATTGCTACGACAGCGCAACTCTTTTAAAGGCGGAAATGATTCCAACCGTGTCACGATTTCAAAAAAAAGTCTTCTTTGATTTCAGAGGATTCAAACCATTGAATTTTTCAAATGTTTAAAACAGCTATCAACAATGTTACAAATCAAGTTTCCTAAAATCATTTTAGCATTCATCTGTGGGTCAGCCTTCATAATAACGACAAAATATCGTATTATTAACGAAAAAGATTACCTAAATTCAGATTTGAATCTAGGAGTTCCTTATAAAATCACCGTATTAACATTATCATCATAAACTCATCATTGTTCATTGGACGTGCAGGTCAACGAGAGACGATGATTGGTTCGTCCAAGAGCTGCCACTCGCTGGGCGTGCTGCCTTCTGCCGTGTGTTGGCTCTACAACGCAATGCAGGTACATGACTTATTTCATACGCAGTAGTACTATAGAATTTCTTGCCATTTGTTTTGAATAATAATTAAATCCATGCCTGTTTCGGTTTAAGTGACTTAACATACGTTGTAGCTGAGAGACCCTACACCGCAGGGTCTCAAGCCAAACAGCGAGTTCTAGGATCAACACAAATTCGGGTTCTTTGAATGTAATTTTATCTAATTTTAATTTCGAAAGCGATGACTGAGACCGTATCTGCTTTCATTACTATAGCATAACAATATAGATTGACTTGATTATGACGACATCGACATATATTGTAGCTACTTGCGGTTGAAGAATATTAAGAAAGTTATCAGAGACGGTTTTTAAATTTGTACCAGTGTAGGGCTGATGCGTTTGTTCAAAATTTCAAACTGATGCCAGTATTTATTTAGAGTCAGGAAACTAATTTGCCTCTGAATTGACTGACAAAGCATCCTGGCTAAGCTGGCTTGAAAGCAATGTGCAGCAGATCAAGTCTTCATGTATAAATATGCAACGGAAAATATTTCAACTTTGCAAAGATTATGTTTAGTGCATTGTACAACATAGAATCAAATTTTACTGGGAAACCGGAGCTAAATTATTGATGAGAAAATATTTATTCGTGTATTTATTGAGCATGTTTTTGAGGGACATATTAGAAAATTTTAGTATACCATAAAAATTATTTCTTTGAATAATTGACAGAGAAAGAAATTTATGGTTGTCTAATATAAAACTACAAGATCATATTGTTAACATAACATAACATAACATAATGATGTCGACGCTGAAATGTAGGCCTGATGTGGCCTGTCGCCGATTCTTTTCCTTTTCGTGCCTTGTTCATAGATCTAAACTCGTGTCATTTGACCGGATCTTTTCATGACTGGCGATAGTTTGAAGTAGCTACTAGACTTCCACCGGGTTCGATAAGGAGCTAGGCATTTCAAATCTGTACATATATTTTTTCATGGCTTTATCTAGTCTGTTCTTGAACGCGTTCATACTTGGAGCTCCAACGATGTCATCGGGGAGGCTGTTCCACATGTCGGTGATTCGAAGCGAGAAAAAATTTTGTCGCGTGGAGAAGTTGCAGCGCAATTTTTTAGCTTATAGCCATGGCCCCTGGTGTTTGGTTCTTGTTTCAAATTCTAGTAACCCTTCAGGGACCTTGTATAGACCATGAGTATACTTGTATACTTCAATGAGGTCCCCACGCAGACGTCGATAACTGAGGCTTGGAGTGATGGATGCTCCAAAAAAAGCTTTAAAAGCTTTTAAAAGCTTTTACAGAGTTGCAAGTAATTTCATCGTAATAAAGAAGACTAATTATGAAATTAACTCAGCACGAACTACAAAAATTAAGCCGATAACCGAGTTTTCTGGGTACAAATCAACGTTGCACCACAGGATAATAATGCGTTCGAACGTCAAAGTGCCAACCCTGAGACATGAGCCTTACATAAATAACATGCGTTTAAAAATTACTTTTTAAAGACAACACTTCTAAAGAATACAGTGTCTCTGATGTTACTTATCTACAATGAATTTTTAATTTTATTTCCATATATTAAAAAAATTAATTTTTATATTTTTTTAATATTAATAAATGGAAAAGTTTTAAATTTTAAAAATTATTTATTGTGTCAATTGATTCATGCATTGTCTCCCACTTTCCGCAAGTGTGCAAAATTCAAGATCGATTGGACATGTAGAAGTGTGTTGAATATCGATTATAAGATTTGTAGAAGACAAAATTATTTTTATTTTTTTTAATTCATAAAATTATATATTCTATCAATTGATTCATGCATTGTCTCCAACTTTATGCAAGTGTGCAAAATTCTAGATCGATTGGACAGGTAGAAGTGCGTTAAATATTTATTATAAGATTTGTAGCAGACAGACAAACAAACAAGAAGTGAAGTTAAAGAGAAGTGTTGTAAAATGAAACTAAATTGGAAAAACTGTTAAAGATAATTTTATTACCGAAACCTATTTTCAATGTTTTAGGCTTACGAATTAATCAATTCTCAAATTTAACTGGGAATCTAAAATAAAAGCGAATGAATGCATTTGGTCACGTAGACCAAAAAATATTCTCTATAGCAAATTTGAAATAAATGACGTTGTATTTAATATAATAATGTACTCTCTATAAATTTCTATCTCAGTAGCTTCTTGGGAATTTTTATTAACTGACCACAAAAAAGGTGCACTAGTTGTGAAGCTTTAAGAGTCATTCCTGATTTTATTGAGACTTATGAAGATGTTGGTATACATGTATAATGGCATATGGCTGCTACATGTAATGACAATCTATTTAGTTTATCTTTCTCATTCCTGAGTTTCAATTGAGGTTTCAACGTTGAAAAGAGTCGTGTTTGTGTATTGATAAGATAAGATTAGGTCACGTGCGTAACGGTCTAAACTTTGGACATGACCTTATAAAACTCCGTCAAACCTCAGCATGGTTTGAGTTTGGGTTTGAATACTCGCTAAACGGTATGTCACGACACGAAATTAATTTAAAAATTCATGAAAATTAACATTCAACTGTCAAAGTTCAGTTACTCAATCGTGTTCGTATTATTTGGCATATCGATGGATTCTGTCATTAAGCGTGTGATACGCGCATTTGAATTGTCTACAACTAGCAAATCAAGTTAGATTTTATTATAAAATCAGTTGATAGCATTTTTAAATGTATGGTATGCTTGGCGATATCATTTGTACTGATTTTTATCATTTAATTAACTTTTCATTTTTTGGAAGAACTGGTCAGAGAGCATCCATAAGCTCAGTTCTAACATATCGATCATTGTCACGTCATTGTAGTACATTCGTAAGGTTCTATTATCAGCAAGTTCATTTCTTCCCCTGAAGCGCAATGGACCAAAAAGCGATGCTTTAAACTCAGGCATTAAAAATTCTTTCTGAAAATCCACGAAGAGAGTATGTAATGTGTGTTATTATTGTTAAGAAATATACACTGTCTGTGGATGATATATAGATTGTTTTACTAATGAAGACTGCAGCTCTTGGCATTGTCGAATGAACAAGAACAAATTATTTGCGAGAAAAAAGAAACACTTGGCTATAATTTCCCTGTAAATTCAAATAGACAAGTTGTCGCAGAAATAAGTTTAGGCGTTGTTTCCATGCGATTTTCAATTTGTCATTCGGGTCAATGTAAATATCGTAACATGAGTAGAAGCCTCATCAAAATATAAAAATTCCACAGCTGAATAAACATGAGCTTTTTTAGAAGCGTAGGTATCTCTACAGTAAGTTATTTTAGTTAATATTTTTACTGCTATAATTGTTTATATGTTGACACTAAATTTTCATATGCAGCATACATAAAATTATCAAATTACACAAAATTGAATTGTTATCACAAATGTTTACATAAAACTATTAAATTTCACGATTATTTCTAACCCATTGAATAAATTGGTTAGTAAACCTGCTATGTGGCTGTCGCCAGGAAGGAGCAGTGCAGGCAGGAGAGCCGCGCAGGAGCTGGAGCGTAACCGTGTCAGCGGTGCAGGTCGGTCCAGGAGACCAGGTGGTGGACCTGCTGCTGCCCTTCGCCGTCACTGCAGGTGCTGCACTGGGCCTTCCACGCGCGCTCATATATTTCAGTCCACAAAAAAGTCCTCTAAAATTTAAAAATTTAAAAAAATATTTCATAAATCTGCTTGAATGGGAATTAATAGTCTCCCAGAGTTAATTAAAAAGTATTGTTCTTCGATAATAACTGTGATAGAATTTCCGCCCATACGGATCGAATTTTCGATATTCCACTTCATGAATCACGAAAGTAATTAAACATAATGAAGTAATAGGCACTTCGTCTATGTGGCAAGCAATATCGAATAAATATGGTTAAGTTGTAACACTCCATAGTTTTATTAAGAAGTAGGAACAAGGAAATAGCAAATCGAATGGAATTGGATTTAAAATGATGGAACTTTAAATTTTCTTCTCTCTAGATCAATCAACTGCAACTAACAAAGACAACGAAAAAATGATTTCGTCCTCCGGGAACACGTTGTCGAGCGTGGGCTGCGGCGACGATGAGCTTGTGCCAAGTATACTGAGCAAGCTCTCTGAAGTGTCAGCTCCGACCATGACGAGGGCGGCCCAGCTCCTGGACTTGGTTTTGAGTGCTCGACACGTCGACGAGTTCGGCCGACCAGCTCACCTACTTTTCTCGCTCAATATTTACCAACAGGAGAAAGGAACGCCCATCTCTACTTCCGGAACTGTTGGTAGCACTGGTGAGAGCTGGGTGGTAACATTTTACGGCACTGTTGGTAGCACTGGTGAGAGCTGGGTGGTAACATTTTACGGCACTGTTAGAAGCACTGGAGAGCTGGGTGGTAACATTTTACGGCACTGTTAGTTGAGTAAAAATGTGTGTTAGTTGAATATAAATGATAAGAAATATGATATTTTTTATTTTATTCAAGGTAACTACAATGAAGAGTTTGCCATTGCCAATGTTAGATCCTCACATGGGCTCTGAGTGATTGCCATATTATTGAATGAGGGTCATCAACTTGTCCGTCATAATGACTGTACGCGCATTTGTTAAGATAATCGCATTTTTCAGGCTGCTGGGGGCGGCTGCATCTGTTGGATTTTGGGCCAGTAGATCGCGGCTGCCGCGCTTCCGGTGGCCGAGCTGTCACCCTGTCCGCCCTGGGCAACACCATCCTGGCCATCATCAACGGACAGAAGCAGCCACCACAGAAGTAATTAATAGTTAGCTTCACAAGATACTCATGATGTTGCGGCAAAGCAACGATTACCTATACAGCTAAATTTATATAAATCTTAGGCGTTTAAAATAGAATACTTTTCTAATTGTAGAATGAATGACTGTACTCTGTTTAATGAACAAAATTTTAATTTAACAAAAGTACCTCGCCAAGTAAATTATAGCAAAGGCTAGCCAGTAATGAGACGATGTAAAGTTATACATAAACGAGTTAAGATTACTTGGCATGGCCCATATTCCCCCACATATGTAACTACTCGTACCGAGTCGGGATGAACAAACATCTTGGCTATGAATTCATGCTGTGCGATTTCATGTCAGTTATAATAAGATTGGTTAAAAAGGAGGACGCCAATTTCTGGTCAGAAACGGCAAGGAGGCCGAGCGGTTAAGCACAGCATAATTGTAGCAGTGCGTTGCGAGTTCCAGACTGGAACCGCAAAGAAAGTGCTGCGAGTGTTCCTCGATGTTGAGAATCGGCGACAGGCCTATGGCCTACTAAACGCTGAAACCGCTATTTAAAACCGCACTCCGATTGGCCAATAAATGGAGGAATACTGCACTCGATCAGTAGCTGATCACAACTGATCTATAAATATTTGACGTGGCAAGGTAGTCCGGGTGGACTATCAGAGCCGGCGGAGGATCACTAATTCAGATTCTTTCTAGATCTAGAACCCCCTCAAAGTTGCCACATTCAGATATACCGGTACTCGTTGACATAGGTTACAGAAAATCCAAGATCTTGACGAAAAAATTAGTGACTGATGAATATGCTGGTGTTGGATACAGAAACTTGCATTTACATCAGATCGTCTCATGGGGGCCGCCCTAGCCACGCTGCCTCCGTTGAGACTGAAATGACCTGAGCCAACGTTTGACTTCAGGATCGAATAATGAGAGAAACAAAAATTTACAACAGACGGCTCGCAGTATTACCAGTATTGTAGAGACTACCAATTAATATAGGAGCGATGCGTAGAGTGATGTTATTTCCCAATTATAAAGTTATCACTGCAACCGTCATACCACATGACGTAAAACTCCTGTTCGACACCCCTGTTGAATAACCCCCCTCCCCCTACGCAAGCAGACAAGTGCAGCTGGGCGTGCTGGGCCAGCTGGTGCGCGAGTGCGTGGGCTCTCTGCGGTGCGTGACGTCCATGTTGGTGCACGTCAGCGCCGAGCCCCACAAGTACCAAGACACGCTCGCCTCCATACAACTCGCCGCCAGGGTGCATCGACTCCGGCGGCGCAGAGTCAAAGTCTGGCCTTGCACATTATCGAAAATAAATATAGTACTTATTGCCGAAAAAATCTTATAGTATCCATATTAGTCGAACAGTTCCGGTCACTGTCAAATGAGCAAAGAGAATTTACGATCAAAATGAGGATACTTGGGGATCCTTCCCATGTTGCTCTATATCCTCATAAGTTCTTGTCATTTCTGCCATTTTCCTTTTACATTTAATTCCATTTAATGCCAAAATTATTTTGGCTTATCTAAAAATCATGTTGCTTGAAAACCTCATGACTTGTATGGCCTAATTCATCTCTTCATGTTAATCTTTGTAGCCACAAATCGGTGGTTCAGGGAGCGGCGGGTCATCCGAAGAATCAAAAAGCGGTCGATCATCCAGAGGAACGATCACTGACACAGGATCCTCATCAATGGACCCTTCATCATCAGAACTGGTAAATGAAATGTTTCCAATTGGCATGATGCCTTAATTTTAGTCACTTTATGACTTTATATTTTCTGAAGGTCTGTCAACACTCAATTGAACGATTGCAAAAATACGAAAGCAATGCAGTTAGACAGATTACAAAAGCAATGCAGATAAACAGATTCTGTTCACGCCCTCGTGAGATTAATTTAAATCATTCAGTTTAACTCATTCTGCAAGGACAAAGAGGAAGTAATATGATAGCGTGAATTTGGCCAGGAAGCAAAAAATTTACTTATTAAAATCATTGAAACATCCGCTGCACAGTTACTTAATTGGAGTTTAATTAACGAGGTTCTCGCCTTTACAGTCCTGCGACACTGTAATTTATGTCGGTCCAGGAGCCGATGAAGCCACTGACAGCGAACATCCTCCAGTCTTTTTGCCATCCGGTTCCTCGCCTGAAAATCGCTGCTCAATTCGAAAAGCGCTAAAAGGTTCTTCAGTCGACTCAAGCCGTCCACAAGATTCGCCTCGCACACCGAGAAAAATCATACCAAAGAAATCGCCGAAGCACGGTTCAAGCAAAGAAGCTCATTCACCTCTGAAATCCAAGGAAAGGTATTCGGAAGACGATCAAGTTGGAAAAGATTCCGGAAATTTAGATCCCATCGATGTAACGAAACACTCACAGTCCCCTAGCAATAGAAGTCCATGCAAACACTGTTCTCATTCTACGAGAAACGGGCCTTCGGTGTCTCCTAAACACCAGAAATGTCTGCATGGAAGCCGACAAAGGAAAACACTGCTGACCGAAAACATCGTTCCATGTTGTCCAGGCCCTAGTGATGAACAATGGGTTGATGGCCCACGCTTCCACAAATCCAAAGTTCTGGAAAGTCAGAAAATCAAGGAATGTGAACTAGAAACTTGGATCGATGGACCTGAGGCAACTTACGGCTACATGGATGACGTTAAAAAAATCATGATTCAGAAATGGGTAGAGACCCAAAATTCTCAGAGCCACGTGAAAGAGGCTCAAGGCAAAAGTCCAAAACATCGGGCTTTCAAAGAAATGACACAATTCAAAACTAGCGAGCAAGAAGAAACTTCGCCGAAGCATAGAGATAAACACAGAGACAAGCGAAGAAGCAGCGATGGAAGGGAACTGAAGAAAGATTCCACGAAACATTCATCGCAATCAAAAGATTCCCCCCATCGTAGACGTTCCTTAAACGGCCCTCAACATCGCATGCCAGGCTCATCAGATCCAGACTCAAGCCTGCCATTAAATGAAAGTGAAAAAATGCCAACAGAAAATTCATCGCCGATTAAAAATAGACTAATTAATCCATCGCAAAAAGATTGTCAAGCATCTGAATCAATTGAGAAACAAGAAATTGCTGTACTTCATGATGGTATAACTTCCGAGGGGACAAAAGATTCAACGAAATTCATCGAGGAAATTACAATAGTCCAGCCAAATGAGCATGTAAAGGAGCAAACATCTTCCCAGGCGGAGAAAAAATGTGTTGTAATTTGTGACACTATTTCATATAAGTCATTGAATGAGGCTGACCGTGGCCTCCTGCCAAGTAGTACGACACTTCTTGCACCAGGTAAATATTTATAACTGCTATCTCAGTATAGAATGCTTGAGTCCCTCTGAATCACCTTGATTTCATTCATAAAAGCCTAAACATGTTCACACTAATCTATACTCTGCAGGTTGCATGTTGGAACCATTCTAATAGATGATGAAATCTAATGAAACATTTGTTTGCCTTTTTAGTATCTCTGCTTTTCATGATGGATTATATTTTATTAAATTTCACTGTATTATATGTGTTTCAGAGACTCGAAGAGGAGAACACGATACCCTGTCGACTGAAGCGTGCAAATCATCGACTTCGAGCCACGCTTTCCCGGAAGCTCAAGAGGACAGCGACAGGTCGGATAAAACCTCAGAGGTGTCAGAGGAGGCCATGGAAGAAGAAACAGCTTCACAACTGTCCATGGATGAAGTTGAAGACGAGGAGGCTCTACCAGAAGCCAGAGTTTACTTAAAACAGGTAAAAAAATTTGGCACTTCATTATTATTAACAAACAATTAAAACAGGTTGGCACCAAATTATTATTGGCACTTAAAACAGGTAATAAATTACGCACTTCTTTTTCATTATTAGAAGTTTGATATATTAATAATGCTTCAGAGTTTTCTCGTACCATATTTGATGAAAATATAAATTTTTATGCTTTATCATGTTAAATTAGTTGTTACGTTTAATTCGTCCAAGAGAACGATATAGAATTATTTATAGGCATCGACTGACCTCTAAAATGCTTAAAGGATTCATAATTTTGTGAATAGATAAGATAAATAAGATTGCGGACTTTAAATTGGTTTAGCGAAAATTGCCATAAGAATGAAATTTTCTTTCAGTTTCCCGGTGATCCGACGAGCTGGGAAGACTGCGAGTTCATCGAGGTGGAGGAGCCCATAGAGCCCGTCGAGTTAGTGGACTCTTGGACGCAAGTCACTGAAGAAGATCTGCAAACTAGCGGCTCGTGCTACAGCGTGCGGAACCTGCAGCCTTTGAGGCGGTTCCTACCTCCCGTTCAAGAGGAGGTCGAACCCAGCGCGGTAAGTTAATTGGTTATTTATTAGTAATGCGCCTTAGATTTCCTGGAAAATAATTTCAACGAATTCAAATTTAAGGGACGGTAATATAATTTTTCGTTAAGCAATACATTTGTTTAACGTCAGAATAAAAAATTTGAAATTTTGCGAAATTTAATCAGCTAAAAAAGTTTCATAATTTGTTACTATGAATATCCTAGCACTTCGGTGTAAAATTTGAAAAATTTCAATTCTTCCTTTTACTAAAACGCGCCACATTTGCTCATAAATTATCTTTCAAATTCTCAGCTCCAGCCAATAAATATCATTTAATGAATTAGTCAATTCTAAATACATTTCTTGCATGCGTGCTCCGATGGTTTCACCAAAAATGAATTAAGAAATACAATACGCCATTTGTAGCTCTATAACAGATAACAATAACGTGATATATTGTGTACTTATGTTTGCAGGATTCAGTCGAGGAAGACAATGTGGGCACAGCAAAGTGTGAACTAAAGGCTAACGAAGTGACAAATGATCCTTCCGTTGCAGACGCTCCTGGCGCCGACCAGCGTCCTCAGCTCCACCTGGATGACGATGTGAGTGTAGCATGGTCTTGCACCACAAGCTCATTAGAATATCAACCTTTAAGGTAACAGATGCATTGTGAATGCCGAGAAATATTTTTGCAGTTACAAAAGGAGTTAGTATAGACACAATTTTTCTAACCCTCAACGAATGATTAGCTCTTCAAAAACGATTCGTAGCATAAAAATGATTTTTTAAATTTATAATCAAATTTCCATAGTTCGTTCCTAATTTTTTCGTAAATGGAAACCTATGTAAATGCATTTTCTTTTGTCTCGTGTTAAATAGATATAGAATAAGGAACCTCCATTATTGCGCCGTAAAATGAAGCTCGATAAAATATGATATAAGCAAGGGGATCTTACACACATTGTAGTTACAAACTTTCATTCTCAATTGAAATGCGTCGCATTCGTGAGCTTTTGTTTGTCTAAAAACTTATATTTTTCTTGAATTAGCATGATGAATGCAAGAAGTTGATTCCCCACAACTTCTTACATCCACTTCAATCCAGCATGTCATTAAAGTTCACAATATTTGTCGGTGCCAGCATTTCGTTTCTATTTCTTCGCATAGTTCCTCCCGCCAGCCTTTTTCAACTTCTGTTTACCTTCCAGATATGCCAAGTAGAGACCCCAGGAAGTACTCGGTTCGAAGAGATGATCCAAGATCCCAGTTTCATGGCAAAAACTCACTACTTTGCTCAAAGACTCGAAGAACTTCGTAAACTGCATCAGTTCTACAAAAATTTGGCAAAGCAGGCACCTCGCCGAAATTCGTCAATGTGCCAATCAACATTGAATGGAGCTATGCTCCCCGACCTTCTAATCCGTCCCATTGAAGATGAACTGATGGATGACGACAAACACGAATTTGGGGCTTGCTTGCCACCTCTTTGCAGTCACAATACAATGCCAAGTCGATTAACTGAGCCCGACTACAACTTAGATTGGAAATCTTTATTACCAGAAGAAATTGAGCTGATAAGTGAAGCAGGAGACAGTAGAACCGATGCCGATGATTCTGCATCTGATTTTTCTAAAGATTTCAACGAAACTGTTTATGACATTCAAAGTGATATTATGCCTTATTTGCCCAGTAATTACGTAAGCTTAAGCAGTTTGACAGCACATAGACCTCCCGACCTAATAATGACCGGTAATTTGAATTATACTGTGACTTCACATGATTCAGGTGGCCAGATTGAAGGCAGATTGCCATCACCAATCGTAGAAGACAAAACAGGTGAAAATAATCTCCCATTGAACCCTACATCTCTGTCTGATGACGAAGTTAACGTGAATCACTTAAAAGTTAAAAAGGAAAAGAAAAAGAAAAAGTTGGGACTGATAAATTCTTCAAAAAGAACGACGAAGGAAATTTCTGAAACAGACGCGTCACTCAGCTTTAGTAAAATAAGTTGGAGTCGTATCTTTAGCGGTGCCAGAAGAAATAGCTCGCCAAAAGAATCTCCCAAAAAGACTTCAAAGTGCTTGAATAAAAATTACTCCAGAGATTTTTGTACGGCCTCACCAAAAAGTAATGATAAACTCAACAGGAAATATCGTGATAAAGAATGTACAAAGGAACAAGAAAAGATCGAGAAGAAATCCAAAGACGGAGAGTTTGGGAAAGATGAACAAAGAAGTCCTCGGGACTTGAAATTAGTAAAAGACTACGAAGGAAGCAGGAACTCAAAATCACTGATCAAAACGGAGTCCGACAAAATCAGAAGTAAAAATTCTCGTAAAAGCAATGATTACCGCACTAGCAGCAGCAGCAACAGTGCTGGTGGACGGAGCAGCAAGAGAGAATTTCCAAAAGAAAATGCAAGAGGCGGAACACCGCGCCAAGATCAGAGTGGAAGAGGGAAATGTTCTGTGCTCCAGCGTGAGAATTTACCTTTCCAGACAGCTAGCTTGTCAGGATCAAATTCGTCGACCTATCATGGCTATGATTCTGGTGCTGACTCTGGAGTTGGTCTGAGAGTAAGTCGTTGATTCAAAAAATGCCATCTTTAATAAGAAATTCAGAATATCGGACTGAATGCGTTCGTTTCTTATGCAATGCTCGATATGAAAATTATTGGGTAGGGATAAAATCTCAACGTATGTTTGAATTGACTTCCATGGACACTAAATAATACTTTTAGCCATCCCTGTTTAAGAGGAAAGCTTAACTTGTTAATTTCTCCAGGTAACCACCAGTAGAAGTGGTCGTCGGTCCCAAATGGGGTTCCAAGGAACTAGCGATTGCAGACAGGGAGAAAGTTCCGGGTATGAGTCAGTTATCCGTGACTCTGAATGCTCGTCCTTTGGATCATCACAAGATTCGGGTTTGGACGATGATGGAAACGCGTCAGTTCCAGTCAGAGGTGAGAGTTCGTTTGGGGTTTCTGGGCTATTTACTTGAATCATGACAGATCGAATACGACAAATATGTATTTTATAGCATTATCTGCAAAAAGAATGTTAAGAATATTACTATGTTTTTCTTCTGATTTCAGAAAAAGACATAGCACCTCCAAATTCATCAGCTAAGCAGTGCAAGAATTCAAGTTTAGATACTCCACCTCCAAACTCAACTTACGAAGCTGGCCTGGACGTGTGTGAGTCGCTGGATTTTAGTTCAAACGGTCTCGACACTGAGGCAGAATTGCAACAATATACTGAGGATGAAGTGAAAAGGTACGAAACGCGTCGTCGTTTAGAAAACCAAGCAAGTTTGCGAGCTCAGACAAGCAAGCGTTCCGTCAATCCCTTGTCACCTAGCGTGGGCGCTGCTCTGTGTTCTCCTGAAGAAAGAATTCAGCAGCTAAGAGAAGAACAAACTCGGCTCAAAATAGAACTAGAAGCTGCCAAAACCCGCCTCATGATCGACAAATCCAGGTGGAGCTATGAGTGTAAGAAATTTAGCTATAATTCTATATCATAGGTGTAAGATTCAGTGTTATGAAAAAGATATTTTCAATCCTAGCTGAACCCGAAATGAGATGCATGTAGATCAAATCTGAATATAATATAAAGATTTATAAATTATAAATTTATACATCTTGTAAAATGTATAATTTTAATTGTTAATATGGATTCATTTTTCAGTGCACGTTGAATCTGCAATGATGCCACATGAAGACGGATTCCTCGAAGCGTTAGAAACAGAAACATCGATTTTAAAGAAGCGAGTTGCTGCTGCGTCAAGTCGGTGTCTACTTGAATCCAGTTTTTTGAACCGAAAAGTTAAACTAAGACACAAACGAGCATCCCAAAAAGACGTTATTGATGGTGCGCATTCACGTACATTGGGTTTACCGAGTTTTCGAGGGTGTGGCATGTTTCCTGGATCAATATCATCGTTAGTCGACGATAAATTTTTGCCAGCCTCACATAACTCGTTCGCGGTTGAGCAGGCCGAGATCCGGGATGGTGCAGGGGATTCAGTGAGACTCTCAGGCGTGCATCTTTAGTAAGCAATGACTCGTTATAAGAGAACTCAAAACAATACATTTTTCACGAATTGAATTCTTTACTATTGTTAAATGGTTCCAGAAAAATCGAAAGCAAAAATATGATCTATTAACTTCAGGGAGATCCTTTAAAAAATAGTCCGCTGATTTTTAAAGCAAAAAATGTCTACTCGTTTCTTAAAGTAAATCAAATTCCAGTCGTACTCGGTACTAACTTGGTCGAGTGAAATTAATACGAGGCCAACCTGTATCCTGTTACTCTAATCTTGATCTAATTACAAGCTGGATGGTTACAATTATGGATACCACCGCTCGTTGCTTCTGTCTGCTGCTCCAACTGATAGCTGGTTCCACTTGAAGCGACAGTCATTTATTTATGATCAATTTTTGCCATTACTCAGTATTTCCCTTGCCTATGTTTTTGCAATGATATTTTGTAATTTTATATAATTCGTGCAAGTTCATAATATAGCTTTGCTTGATTATCTCGTTAATTTCATTTACCTGTGACTTGGAATACAAATTGAACTTCATAGTCATATTAAGATGTGTTGATTGCAAGTTGATGCAAGGCTGAAGTTGTACTTTGGTTTTTCTTATCTATAAACCTTAACTGACGTAAAAGATTACCACCGTCCAATACGTAACATCATCCTGTGTAGAGATAACATGCTTGCTTTCACTTGATGTATGTCATGACAGCAATAAAGTTTCAGGAACCTTCAAATCATGCAATTTGATAGAGACGGATTTATTCGAGCAATGAATCTCAATGGGCATCCATATAGGCAACAGACTTCCAACGAACTGAACTTTGAAGCCATTGGTGAATTAAACTCGAGCTTAAGGGAGAAATTACCTGGATGCCTACAGAGATTGTCTGACATAAGAATTGCTTTCAACACCTGTAATTAATTACGCTATTCTTATTTTTTAAATTGTTTGTTACTGATTTCCACTAATTGCAGGACACCTTCCAATAAATGTTTATAGTCTAAACTTGTTATTAACTTTATTGTAAACTTCATTGAAAATGGATTAGAGGGGAGGAAAATGCTGAAAGTTGCAATACAAGTATAATTTAAACTTAACTTAACTTATTAAACTAATGAACTCAGTAAATTCGTTCATCGTAGTTTTAGAGACTTGAAAATATGTTGTTCCAAAAATACATTGCTTTGCAAATGACAAATAGAGCGTTATACAAGCAATTAAAAAGAAATTACAGTCTATATTAAAATGGATTCAAATTCTATGACAATGTAATGTATGGTCAATGCAAATATCAGCCGATCATTTCTCTAAAGTTTAATCCAGGCCATTTGAAGAAAGAGGGCGAGTCGTCGAGACGATGTACATCATCGGTCCGTTCCTGATGACGACCAGACGCGGTAGTCGTGCCATTCACTCCCAAAAAATCCTGTAATATGCATTTATTTAGCATAAATAATTTGGAGTCTTGTATTTTTCGGAAGATGGAAATTCAGAACTATTAAGTTGAGAATACGGAGCTATAAAGTATAAACTATGTGCGGAGATCACAGCAAGATTACGTATGGTACTGTCACACAAGAGATGACCAATTTTCGTGGCAGTAATGTCAAGCAAGTGTTTACTTATTATTGATGTTTGCTGTTTTGTTCTTGGTTCCAAATGCCTACAATATTTCTGACACAAACTCAATCAGCAATTACGTTACACTGAATGCCCTAAAAATTGAGATATTTACGCAGATTTGCAGCCTTGTTCAATTGTTTGACTGCTGTCATGGGATTAAGGTATGAGTAATATTGCATTATCACTTTTTCTCTGAAATTTTAATGATATAAATTCTGAAATCTGTTGAATAACGTTGACATTATCAATTGAAATACTCAATGCATTTTAAGCTGGTGAAAGAACGCTTTCACTTTCCATGAGTATTTATTTACAAATTTATTGCACTTCCTTAATTCCATGAATATATACTGCATATACGGCTTTCTCGATAAAACGTAATACTAGCTCATCTCATTTCGAACAGAGACCTGATCATGCTCTGGTAATATTGCATTTCAATTAGAAAGCCTAATGAATTCATTAAGTTTCTGGTACCACAGTTTTGATATCAAAATGAGCACAATAAGCGGAACATCAAACGATCGAGTAGTTTTAATCAAAATTAAGATTGTTCTTGACCTTCACGTGATGCAGCGTCAATCAACACGTGTCAACGCACGAAATATAAAGCAATCAATGATCACATGGTGCGTCAGTAATAGACCTTTCAAGTCATTGTGTATCCTGTTCTATAAGAAATATAAATTAAAAAATTTTAAAAATCTAAATCTGCGACGCTTACCCGACTATTAAATTGTTGGCTAGTAATGGAGCAAATAATTGTTGACTAGTAAAATTGGTGATCATTTGCGTTTTGACTTATTAATTCGTGTATATATGCTAACGTTCAAATTAGCTTGTGACTACAGTGAAACAAAATTGCTACTCGTTTATTATAAAAGATTGAAAATAAAATAACTTAGAAAAGTGAATAATGCAATGCAGTGGCAAACGGGAAAGGATAACATAAATGTTAAAGGATTTACTAGTCACAATTTTTCAAGATTATCGGTTCGATAATTTTTTTTATATCAATAAGCCAATTTTAACTTCCGATGTAAAAGGGTGAATAGAAGAATTGAATTGTCCGCTATTTCAGCACTCTAATAATGAGTGAGTAGTCTAAAATTTAATAATCGACACCTGCTTTGTTTTATTTTGATTTGGTTTCATTGTTGCTTATATAATTCATCAGGTATTTTACTCATATGTTTCTTTTAATTAACTGAATATGTTCGTATGAAAATGAACTCCTAATGAATCGAAACTCTTCGAGCTCGTTTGGAATGTGTCCCGCCACTAGAAACTTCCAGCGTGACTGGCATTTCCAAAAGCATATTCTTGCACTTTATGCCTGCCTTTGAAACGGTAGAAGAATCGTGTTCAGCAAGACACTGGTCTTAGCTTTATGACCCTTTAAAAACAATTCAAACAATTCAATAAGAGTTCAGAGATAATAGGCTATTTGATTTCTGCGAAATCCGAATAAAAAAATATGCTAACATATTTTAATAATTTTTTTCAGGTGTTCTAACGATTTTGTTCGAATCCAACATATATATATGGTTAGATTCTTACCTGAAGAATGTCGACAATGAATACTGCAAACTGTATAAAAGCCAGAGACATGAGCGCGACTTCGAAGGCTGCAGCATCTGCGAATAACAATTGAATGGGAAAATTATACAACGAGAACATAACAAATTTCCAAGTGATACTGTAATGATTTGTCAAAGTCTCACAAATTGCTCTTGGAAGAATTTTTGAAAATTTGAACCTTACACATTGGACTTTCAGTCTACAATGATAATAAATGTCTCTAACTTGAATCCTGCCTGTTTTCAACTTAACATAAGTCGATGCTCACCCAAGGCTCTGGATTCTACTTGCCTCGTTGACAATCCTGTAGACGAAGCTCTCTCTGCCATTGAAAAGTAATTATGAATACCGATCAGAAAACCGCTTGTAAATTGACTACGAATTTTGATACGGAATCTCTGTGGCGGAAGCTAAGCAGTGCAGTATAAGGCAGCATACAACCAACTGAGCAACCTTCCTCCTGGATGCCGTGTCAATTAAGGTGTGCGCAGCACGGTCTGCTAACTAGCGACCTCAATGGCTCGGCCGCCACGCCCCGTGTCCCGGATCAGCGGTGAGGAGTATGCGTGATATCGGTGATGTGACTTGGGTCTATTCTATGACCTGCATCTCAGGGACCGGTACAATGTATAGTACCTGTGTGTGCTTGGGTAACATGCATGTATGTGAGTGAATGAATCATAGGAAGCGCTGTCATGAAGTATGAGCGTTGGCATATGACATTCATGAGCAAAAATTAATGTGACCCGTGAACGCAGTCGTGACTCGAGAATGGGACAAATCTAGTTTCTTGTAAAAAATTTATGCTTATCTGGAGAGCACTCGAGGCTTTTTTTTTCCATGTTTATTGTCCGATAAATTCACACAAGATTTTATATATTCACAAAAGAATATTCATTCACATATATTCTTTTTGTTGAGCTGCATGCATTTAGCCAAACAATCTTGTCAATTGACGCCAGTTTTATCCCTCAATGAAATATATGATGTTAGGCATTATTTCACAGTCAACGAAACTTTAATAAAGTTTAAGTAATTTTGTGAGATTTAATCGCGAAATACTTCTCTCGCACTGAGTATATATATAGTAAACTCTCGACCCGTAATGTCCAAGAATGCCTATCATGATCTCACACATACGGCTTTCACCACACCTCATCCGTTTGCTGATAACAAACTTTATCTGATAAGACATTATAACACTGTTTCTTACAGCAATACATCAGTTACTATCAAGATGTTGCTTTGTCCATAAACTAACGTCTCGTGGTGCTTCACTCCAACAATCAAGTGGATTGTTTCATCGAATAGTCAAGTCTCTTCGTTCACTTGTGCCTGTCGCCGTGTTTCCAAGAAATTAAGTCTATGTTTTTATATAAGCAGTTGCTCCATTATTTGTTGTGTTGTGGGCATTTTCACGACCGCACAGTAGGTAGTGGCATATTACTAAAATAATGAAAATGTACTACAACACTACGTTTTAAAATTTTTGAAAGATGTAAAAATTTGTGTGAAATTTCAGTTCAAGCACAAGAGGCGATGAAATCATTTGACCCACTTGTGGATTCGTTACAAATTTTCACGTTCAAATAAATTAAATCTTATATAAAAAGCTGACATTTTAAGGAAAATATTAACTCTATCAAAATTTAACATTCGACTAAAAATTACCACTATGGACATGCTTCATTTAAAAATGAACTTTTCGACTCTATTCTGTTATTTTCAACTCATCCTCGCTAATGCAGGCAATCTAGTTGCTATTGTTCTTTTTTATTTGAATAAGAACTTCTTTATGTGAACTGCTATTATATATTCATATGTGAATTCATATCTACACAAACTTTGCCATAATCTCTGTTTTTCGCTTTCCATAAATCAGAAAAATGACTTTAAATCAAAATTTGCAATAATGAATGAATAGTCAACAGTAACATAATTCCATTCTTAGAGGTTAAAAATACTTCCAATGACATCACTACACTACTGATTCCAAACCACATAGATGGATATATATTTAATTTTAATTTCATTGTGTATTGAGTCTGACACTTGTGTTGGTTAGGGAAACACTTTTAAAGTCCGTCTACAGTAATTTCAGGGTTCATTTACAACTGGTCTCAGATCAAATAATTTAATATGGAGTAAAATGCTGGTAGCATACAATAAGTTTATAGCAGCGTTGCCCTTTCTTCGGTCACAGCAGAGTAACTTAAATATGACAATTTAACATCAGTCTGCTAGGTGAACATATCTTGTCATTGTGTTAATGATCGTGAGTTGACGTTCATTAAAAGGTGTTGGCAGAAGTTAAGCTAAATTCTCAACAGTGTCGCTTGCTAGTCTTGCTATGATCAACGGCAAAGTGGCGACTATATAGTATAACTAATAAATTGAGGTTTCGATATTATGTCAAACCCTGAACGCTATTTAACAAAAGTTATTAATTGAATCTTCAACAACTGGACCTAATATACTATAGAGATTGATAACCGATCAATTTGAATAAAATGATTGGAATTGAATCTGTATAAAATATCCGACTTAATTTCGGACGTATCAATTAAGAATTTTTTATCATTCAATTGTAATCAAAAATTCATGTTTAAGCTAAAAAATTCCACAATAAAATATTTATTCCCTTTTTGCATCAAAGGAAATTCAAGTAATAAAAGCACATGCTTTGAATAAATTCATCATTCCCAGAATATACACATGTGTATCACTTGAATATAACACAAACTTGTAAGGAATTTGCACATAATTTCATACACGTGACAGATTCCGGAACTATGAATTTGAAATAAGAATGTCAATCAGCAAACCATGAATGACGCTACTCATTGGACACTATAAATATATCTCTTTTGAAGAAAAAACAATCAAAATGATTTTTTCTGCGATAACGATACACAATCAGTGATCTAAATCCTCGCTGTCGTAAAGATAGACATTGCTGAGCGATGATTGTTGTTCTGACCAAATTTATGCATCTTATATTGTTGAAAAGAATGGTTCACACGTTGCATCAAACGCGATTAGCTTTCAATTTTTCATTTAAATTTCTTTCCTGCTGGAACTTCTATCTGTACTAATAAAATCTTTGAATCTTTTGATAACTTGGCATCATGTTTTCATCAATGCTTCCATATTAATTGCTGTTTTGGTTTCTATCCTCTGTTGGAAGACTTCAGCTAACAGAGATAAAACTATGTCCCTACTTTCTAAGCAGCTCATCTGTTGTAGATCTGCTAAGTAAAAAAATCAATTAAATTCTTCATCATAAGTAATAAAATTCTCGGATACAACTGTTAGTGTAATGGATGTATAAAGAGAATGTTCATGTAATAACCGTAGAATTACCTGTACATAATTCCTTGGTCATCGACTACAGAGAATTTTTCCGAAATTCTTTGTAAAAAATAGATAGATCGAATTACTTTGACGTCATGAAGCTGTTATGCGTGCAAGATCCCGAGCGAGCTGTCAGCAAAGCGTACGATAAGCAAATCTCTGAATGGAAGAAAACTTACGACCAAGCCATCAAACTCTTGCTTCTTGGTGAGTAAAATCAATTGAATCTTAGCGTAAGAGATTCACCAACAATATTTAATTGTTAAATAGGCACAGAAATATTTTTGACAAGCGTTTCAAAAATAAATTCAAGCGCTCATGCATAGAGGAGAATTGTCGTAAGTAATTCACGTTTATTTCCTCTGATAATCAGATGAAAAAAATTATTTAAGAAAAGCAAAATTGCTTTTAAAATCCCGACAGCATGAAAAACAATTTTGCTTCTCAAACGCTCATGGTCAAATGAATGGATTTATAAATGGCACACTCGCTCGGTTTGTCTCCGATTATTTCGTCACATTGAGTATGAGAAGACTTTGGTTAGAACTAATTTAATAAATTTTAATGTTCCAATGTTACCGCTTTATCCTTGTCAAGAAGCATTTTATATAATTTGTTTAAATAGCCGATTTTATTATAGTGTTTTATTATTTTTTTATCCCAAATCATAAAATAATTAATTATCATAATTAATTTATCATAAATATTTCAAAATTTTCAGGCGCAGGGGAGTCTGGCAAGACGACAATCATCAAGCAGATGAAAATCTTGCATATCAGTGGCTTTTCTGAGGAGTGAGTAACTTGAACAACTAAAAATATTCAAATGAGGTTCTCAAACATTACCGTTAACTAATTCCAAAATAAATTCTTAAACCGATTTCATCCATTTCCATCATCATACACTTTCATTTTTCAGCGAAAAGAGAGAAAAAACCCTGGAAATCCGGAGGAATGTTCTGGATTCAATCGTCACTTTATGCCAGAATATGGAGAAGGTTGGCTGCGTGCTCGCCGACCCCGCGAACGAAGAAGCGCTGGTCCAGGTCCTACAGTGCAGCATAAACCAGCCAGGGAAGACCATGGAAGAAACGCTCGACCAGGTACGCATAGCGGCATCTGAATGTCAGCCATGCAGTAATGTAGCTCAGCGACGCTCATTCCCGAGACAAATTTTTATATCGAATCAATAGCCAATATACAATTTGAATGCTTTGCCTCCTGAAATTTTTAGCATTATTTTTACTATTTGGAATACATGATTGGTCATCTGTACTAAATCTGTAACATTACTACTACCAGCAATAAATCTGAATCACGGATATATTTTCGCAGAAATTTTATGATAACGTCGCTGCCCTATGGAAAGATGATGGAATTCAATCAACTTACGCTCAGCAGCATAAATACCAGCTCATCGACTGTGCTAAGTAGTAAGTACTCTTCATAATACGTCTTAATTATAGACTTTTGTTGTTACCCAAAATTACGATTGATAAATTTTTGTTTGAATTTATACGTTATTCCTAATCAGAATCATACATCTTCTGATGTTGTTCATATGTCCTGTTTTTTCGTGAAAAAAATTTCAACGATGAGAAATTTTATAGTACATTAGACCTAAAGTTGGAGCCGAATATGTAAATGAATGCCTTATTTTTAGACCATAATCTTTAGAGTTATTTTCCATTAAATCACTAACATATTTGTAAAGTTTCTTAGATAAATTGGAGAACTTGAGGGATCCATCATATGAGCCCAGCGTGCAGGTGAGAAGAGCTCGACAGAGACACAGTTCACTCATTTTATTCAAAATTTAGTTTTGAACAAAAAAAAACATACAGATTGACTTGTGTGGTTTAATTTGTTTTATAAACTGAGGTCCACAAATTATATGCGCAGAAGTTGTAATATAAAATAATCAAAGCCAACATTAGTTTAAATCTAAAATTAGAGTCTTAATAATAACACTAAGGAGATATAAATTTCCCACAGGATATCCTGAACAGCAGAAAAATGACCACAGATATTCAGAAAATTGAATTCAAGACTGATATTCCCAAAAAATATGGCGGCGGCAAGCAGACTTTTTGGATGTTCGACGTTGGAGGACAGAAAGGGGAGCGCAACAAATGGATCCAGGTGAAGTGAATCATTGTTCACTTCTAGCGAAAGATTTTCTGAATATTTCTGTAAATCCACACAAAAACGAATAATTGAAATAAATTCTAAAAGATATGAAATTTCTCATTGTTACTAATACTTTCTAAGTATAAGACTTCGTTGATTATTAACTTTTGCAGGTATTTCACTTAAAGACCTTTAATTTGTGAGATGAAGCTAGTTCGCCTTTCTGCTGGTAAATCTTATTCATCTCACAAATTTCTGTAACACTTCATCAATTACCAGGTATTCGACGGCATTCAGGCAGTGCTATTCCTGGTCGCCACGAACAGCTTTGATCAGATGACCAGAGAAGACGACACCACCAACAGACTTGAAGACTCCTTGGATATTTTCGACAACGTCTGGACCTCTCGGTAGGCACAAATCGTTTAATTATCATGCCAGTAGTCTACTAATATTCTGTTACTAGTATTCAAAATCATTACGAATGAGAGCAATGTTATTGTGCCTAGTCACACTTTTTTCTTGGTATTTTCACCACAAAGTACAAAATGTGAATGTGGCCTGTAAACGAACAGGACTAATGTTGGCTTATTTTTTACACGCATTTATTCCTCTTGACCCGAATTTCTGTCGGTCGTGCAGGTTCCTACAGAGCGCTGGGTTTATAATCTTCCTCAACAAGCAAGACAAACTCAAGGAAAAAGTCGTCACAGAGAAGAGATCTCTGAGCGAACATTTTCCTGACTTTGATAAGTATGAAGTAAATGCAAGAGGTACGCTAATGCTATGACTCTGCTCGTAAATTATTAAACAGATAATTTACTGGGATACTAATGGGAAATTTTGGGAACGATCTGGGAGTAACTCCTTGGTGATGTTCAATTTTTTGGCATTTTCGCTATAAATATTATGAGTGTGAATTGTATGTTTAAACAAGTTTTTCGAAGTTACTTTTTTTTAAAGCACATTTATTCAAAGTTAGTCCTAGTTGGAAAATTTACAGACGATTTCATTTGATAGTCGCTGCATAAAATTTCGAATTACGTTAAAAGTAAGAAAATTTCAAAGTACAAAAACTTTCTATTGCATTCTATTACTTTCCACGTTCAAATGACTTAATTACTGACGCGAGATTTTTGAAGGTGGTCATGGTAGCCATTATCTAGGTTTGCAAAAAGTAGCCTAGCTTATTTTAAAACTCTAGCGTTTTTTAGAAAAAATCCCCGGTAATTAGGTAGAATTCTAGAACAACAAATAATTGCCTCATAATATATAAGTGATTCAAATGATTTCGTTCGTAAAAGTTTACGTAATTTTCAACAGATCAAGTGGCCGGTGAGGATCCCGAGTATTTGCGAGCTCGCTGTTACATCAGAGACCTCTTCATTGTGAGTTTTCCGTACTGGAATTGATTAGGTTTAGGTCACCTATGTGAGGTCGGTAGCATTGCATCATATTGATATCTGTCGAGATCATATATGACAGAAATCCAGGTACAAATTTAAAGAAGGAATGTATATATTCTTCTAAAATACTTCTAAACTATAATCTGAAAACCGTATTTGTAATAAGGTTCTTATCGCCTTTCAATACACCCATCCACAGTAAAATAAGTAGGTCCAGTTTTTTTTATTTGACTTGTTACAAATTAAAAGTCATTATGCCGGTAAAGATTTTACGCAAAGTCATCTATAAATGTATTCATAATTGATCCAATGTCAAATTTTCTAACAGGAAATCACCAAAAGACCGATGCCTGATTCAGTTCGTAGAAAAATATCCATTGCGCCGGGCATCAAATTTAACGAAGAAGGAGGACCTAAGAAGGAGTGCTACCCACACTTCACCACCGCCACGGACACCGACAACGTCAAGCTCGTCTTCGAAGACGTGCACAACATGATCATCCTCACAAACTTGAGCCAGATTGGCATGTATTAACTCACAGGATCTTCTAGATAGTTTGAATGAAAAATATGCTGCAAATGTATTTGAACATCAACTTTATTTGTGATGAAGATGACTGTTGTATGACGACTTACGGCGGGACATTTCTCCGGTTCACCGACAATTCAGTAGATAAATGCTGCTTGTGTCCTGACGGAGCTATAACGAATTTTTAACGGAGGATGTAAAGTGTACTTAACGATCAAAGAGTGTAATACTATCCTTAAACTGAGGGCATTAAGTGTTAATATGGCTTCATTCTACAGCAATTTCATTAGTAATGTCTATTAGTAATCAGTGCAATTACTCTTTTTTCTATATAATTCAATACGACATTTATGAAATTATGCTTTCGATTTCTATTTATTTCTCTAATTGTGTATTAATGAAAGCAGTCATAACATTGTTCTTTGATGAGAATGAAATGGCGCCTATGCCGAATATACAACACTGTTGAGCCCCACAACTATATTAGTTGTGAAGGCCGTATAGATGTTTTTCGGTGAAGCCTCTATTTCCTCCTTCACCAGTTGTAAACATTAGTGTTTTTATAGATGCATTTTTACTTGTGCCATTTTTTAGACTAACTGTAACTGTGTACTGGTTATTAATTTAACTTTACCGAAACATTCACATATTTGCAATTATATCTTTTTAATTATTTCATGTAATTTAATCCGCAGCCAGTTAGATCCCAATCAGCAAGTAATTTAGAACTCCGACGAAGAACTTTATTTTACTCTGTTTTATTACAATCACTAATTACATATGTAAAACAAACCAGATGATATCATCAACATTGAGGACTTGATGTTATGAACTAATTACTCCACGAAAGTTTTCCCTTGAATAATTTCGAAATTTTTCTCAAATAATTGATGCCGAAAAAAATGTATGTAAATCGACTTTGGAGAGATAAAAGTTTCTCATATAGTGGTACTGATTTGGGCCGACGACATCTGTGAATAGTAGGCGAAATTTCTGTGGCAATAGTCATAAATATTGACGTGTTGGTATTGTAAATTTTTTATTGTAGTACAAGCGTTTAAATCAATTACATAAATAAGCCCGGCTTACCATTATTTTATTCCCCAAGTAACTATTATCTGTTTTATGTGATGCACCAACAGCGGACAGGAATTGAGCGAAGAATTGTGTCGAAATGCCGTGTCTACGCAGCAGTTATTGATCGCGTTGGCTGTTAATCAATGATTCCCTAATATTGCAATATAAGGCTCGTATGAGTACATAAAGCCAACACACACCATTATAAACATCCATAAAATTGCTTTTATAGGAGCACACGTAAAAAGATTATCAAGTCAAATGTTTTACCCAATTTGAATTGGTGAAAATTAACTTCAGCATGTATGAAAACGTATCATTTTATTTTCCTGAAAGCAGATAAATCAGGTGCATAGGGCGCAAAAAAAATCATGCAATCAACCAAAAATAAGTAATGTTTTTTATGTAAGTTTTCATTTCTGAGTTTTTGACATGCCAACAAGCTGCATGTGAGACAAATCAATCCACAAAGTAGAATTTTTTGAAATCGATGAATTCTATGGATGGCGTTGTGGCGCACTTTTTCTTCATCATTTCTGACGTTTCATTGATGATTTCATGGATATCCATCTCATAAGCATTCTCACAGATCGCCTGGCAGAGACAATGCACAAAAATCGTTCCTTCGTCCGGCATTCTTTGTGCTTTGAAACCAGGCAGAGAAGCGTGCACCAGCGCTACGTCCCTCGGCGCATCTTCCTCGCGCTCTGTGACGTTGTCAAAGACTTGGTTCCGTTGGCGAGACTCTCCTCGGCAATAATTCAAGAACATTATCTTCGGCTTGTCTTTCAGGGCAGGACAATTTTGGTTGGTGAGTTTGATCCAAATGTCCCTGATGTCAATTACTTCCTGCTGGGATGAATAAAAGTGTCGTTCATCTTTGCCGTGACTCAAAAAGAACAAGATGAGTGAATCCATTCCTAAGACATGTCGTTGCAGGATCGAGTCAATTTTTTCCATCAGTTGGGATTTTGTAGTATCTGAGAACAAATGAACTTCATAACCCATCTCTTTGAAGACAGAATCCAAGTTGACATCATCCATTTCGGAACCATTTCGGATCCAATCTGGATTATTTCTGAAGTGGTTGTTGAAGACAGCCACAAAACCTCGAGGGCGAGAAGTTATTCTGTAAGCTGTTGGCGGACGATGAGAGAAACCGAAAGATTTTTTCAGTCTGAACTCTGAAGTTTTCAATTTTGGAAACGAGCCATCCTGAAATAAAAAAGGAAATTAATTCCTGAATTGTCATTATTTGAGAACACTAGAATAAAATTTACAGCTGAAAGGACTAAACCCAATATTGTTGATTCATGAAATATGATTCAGGTTAAAAAAATTCAATAATACTCTCATAGGAGTTTTAAAGATTAAATTAATGACTATGATTGATGCTTCAGGTATTACTATGCAAAGGTGATGGAAAAATAATTTAAATGATTAAAAAGCCACGAATAAATTATCGGAACAGCTCAAAAACCATGGTATGGCGATTTTTCATATATCAAGAATTCTCCTTCGTGTATTTTTCTTTGCGTTTAAATACGTCGGACGAAAAAGAGAGGATATCCAAATTCTTCATCAAAATAAAAAGTTTAGCTTCAGTTCCTCTTCAAGCTTAGCATGATTGATGTATCTTGGCAGCTTAAATTCACCCAATAGACAATCAAATAATACTATTATTTACTGAGAGATAAAAAGGGTTATTTAATGATCTGTATATTATCTATGTACATTTTGATCATAATTAAAAATTATTCTATTAAATATTTCGAAACTTATTTTCAAATACTCTAGTGAAGGATGCGCTGAGGTTGATCTTACCAAAGATGAAGAGTGTATTGGATTCTGCCAAGGTTGTTCAGGATACCCGTACATGGGCGGAGTCGGGTAATTCTGTGGGTGAAGTGGCATCTGGGCGTACGGGCCCAGATGGGGGATTTGGGCATACGCGTTCGGGTATGGCCCCGGCACACCAAAATTACCGGCCACAGGGTTGAAGCCATATACTCCGGGAAACTGAACTTGTGGTGGGGTTGTAAAACTTCCTATGGGTTCAGGCTCTCTGGTCGTTCGTCGTGTGTGTTTAGATCGATGTTGACTTGAGCCAAATAAGTCACTCTCCATGGTCTCTGACTGAATATAAAGAAGTCACTTAATTTTACTTGCAAATTCACGAAAGTTTATCTGGAATGCACACACAAAGGCTATATGATGGCTGATACGACTGACACTGCGATAGGACCTTAGATCCTCCAATGATCGTTGCTTTGGTGAAGGTCAACTAATTCTTGTCCTTGTGAGCATATGTGATTCAATGTAAAAGTCTGAAATTTTTATCCCAAAATTTATCATGCTTTTATACGCCTTTACTCTCGTCATCTGTTTTACACGTTTTTACCTCATCATCATTTATATCAATTAACATCTTATCTTTATGTCTAAGTTACAGGACAGTGAGGAGATCGTGAGACAGTGCAGCCGTGGACCACAACTTCAATTCTGGTAGTCTCAACATGCAACGTCCAGCCTCAACATGCAATTTCTGAACTGAGCCTCAAAGCTTAGATATGTCACAGGCCCCACTGGATGGCAGGCCCTATATGTGTGGCTGATGCATTACTGAAAGATGCTAAAGGCTTTCCAGTTTAGGGCTTGTTGGGTTCAAAATTGGTGTTCCGCGGCTGCGCTCGCGCCTTTCTGTCAAACTTACTGTATTAGGTCCTGTGTCCGACTCCACTTTTGTCTCGGGCTTTGCGGGTGAGACCTACAGAGGGTAAAAATAGGCATTAGTAAGTAAATCTATAAAATTTGTAAGAATAGTAATTCAAGTGTGGATTTTCCTCTTCGCAATTAATTGAAAGTGATTTGCCTTGATTTTGAGAACAACTTCTCTTCTTCGAAAATAATAGCTTCTAGTCTTGAAAATTTTTAAAATGAAAATGCAAAGTTAACAAATTTCTTGAATAAATGATGCAAAGATAGCACAATCTTTTATTCCCACAGCTCCCCGAAAAGAGATGAAGTTCTATAGGCTATTCTTGTAGACACGCTAATTCAGCCGTGCTTCAACACTTAGTGACAGAACTCGATCTTCGATCGTCAACACTTTTCGTTCCACTAATTAACGTCATTCGGTTTTCCGAGCAGCAAATCAGCTTCTCAAATTTGAGTAGTATTCAAATAATTTTTATCTCTCGGTAGTTATGCTTATCACGAGGATTCATTATTGCTAATCCTCTAATTAACATTGTTTGTAAGGCAAAGTTTCGCAGTTAAGGAACATTAGATTTTTCTTCTTCCTTTCTTTGAGCCAAAGTACGAATATATAGTGTTCATTGATCGTTTCGCTTGATGAAATGGATTCGTCAGACCAAAAACACTGGTCAGCAGAAAATATTATTCTGACACGATGAGATAATTTTGAAGAGGGTTGGAAGGAATTTTCGCTGCTGATTTGAAAGCTGGCTTTTAAATTCAGGTTTATCCTCTATCACGTCAAGTTTTTTTTTAAATGTTTGCATTATTTTTGGTCAAATATATTTGAGAACATTAAATTTACATATAATTATTCACCAAATAAATGGGATAATAACAATTATTTTTATATTTAGTGTGCACTAAAATCAAAAATGTAATTGAATTTACTGTGCCCTAAATTCTAAAAATAATAGTGAATATATACTCAATTTTTTCCTAAAGAGCAAAAATTTTGAATCTAAAAACGATTGAAAACTTACGACCGTGGATTGCGCGGCAACCTTTGATCGATGCTTCTTGCCGCTGATGTGTTGCAGGACAGGCTCTCGTCCTGTCAGCGCCATGCAGCACACGGTACATCTGTACACGCCTCCATCCATCACCTGCAGCCATGCCAGATTTTTATTATTATGCGGAATATGGTACTTATTTGGAGAGAATTTGAGATTTGTAATTTTTTATTCTTGATTATAAGTGCGGTAATTAATGACTCACGGAGAAAATACAGCAGTTGAAAGAACTTTTTGTAAGCAAAACCCAGCCCTTTTTTTAATATACACATCATTTAGTTCTACATTGAATTTTTGTTCATGAAACACATGGACAAAATGGCCCCATAAGCTATCTGTACAGATACTATATCAACAATGTTCATTATTTTCCATTTTATGATTTTTACAGACATAAAAATTGTTTGTAGACTATCATACAGGATTCATACGTACAACAATCCGCCCAGCCGCCACTTCACCGTCAAATGAAGAAGGGAGTTGAACATCTTGTCCAGCGTTATCTGAACTAGGAATTTCCTCTTTAACTGAACCAATATTGCCGATAGAAGGTTTCACCGAGTCTGATTGACTTGCATCTATTGATGTTTTGACTGCTTTTTTCACATCTGGTTTGGTTTCTTTACTTGCGTGAACAGCTTCCTTAGATGTAGTTGTTGAATCAACAGTGCTCTTGGGCTGTTTGCTTTTGGCATTCTTTTGGTCATCGGATCGTGGTGAAATTTCCTTTACAGGTTCTTGCACACTGGAATTTATTGAAAGATTTCCCAAATCCCTCGAAATCTTCTTCATCTCATTTTTCTTGCGATGACCTGAACTCTTGAGATGGTCCATCAGCGGCTTCTCTCCTGATAGAGCCATGGCACAGCAGTGACATCTAATTTTCAAATCTTGGACTTCAATAATCCCTTCTTCTATTGCCTCACGGACACTCAAATCAAGATCATCGTATAAAATCGGATACTTGTCACGTAACTGCACAGCACTAAAGAAGACCTTGTTTTTGTGTTGCGTCCCATTCAGATGTTGCAGAGGCTGAGCTTCTAGAGAAAGCTCGCAAATGTTGCAGTAGTAGCCGCTATCGTCGGAATACGACACCTCACCTGATAGAAGATGTTTGTGTAAAGGGGTGCTCATCCTGACTTTATTTAGATATTCTGGATTCTGTTAGACAGAAACCTTAAAAAATTTGTGAGGGCAGTTAAGATAAAAATAGCTCGAGTAAGTAATATCCACTTGAAAAATTCACCGAAGTTTTGGCATTCTTGTCTTTCAAAAACGCGAAACTACACGTTATTGTCGTCAGATTTTAGAGTTTCTGTGCACTGCAAAAGTTATCGAACAGAAGTTCAATAAATTATTCAACTCTAGAGGAGGCTCAATGACATATATAATTTTCAACGCAAGTATTAGAGACTTGAAACTGATATATTTTCATGCTGACGACGATCGCGACGACAGAACTACAGACGGTGGCTGGGAGAACTGAGCCTCGTCACGCAGGCTGCAGCTGTACGATTCACAGCCATCGGGTATGATAAGATAACCACATTTACCAGTCCCTCCTTACTCGATTACAATTGCAGACTAGTCTCCATCGGGGGAAATACTTTTGTAATAAGGCAATAACTTTCATGCAGATAAAAATATAGTGCCCCGCAATTTAAATAATGCCCGTTACGATTTAAGTAATTCCTGAAATGCTCTCTGACCATGTTGAACAGAAAAATTTGTGCTGATATTGCCGCCAAATTTCAGCTTCGATGTTTCAGTTCTGAAATTTATATTTTTTTTGGCTAGAGAGTAACAAAATGAATGGAATAATGTCCTTCGTTCGCATACTTTTAAATTTATTTGTGATTATTACATTTCACCGAAGTCATGTTGCGCAACTAGTTTCGCAAATTATTTTAGCTGTTCGTAAAACTTCTACATTGTTATTTTCAGCGTTTCTGCTCCATAAAGAGACACAATTTGTCGTTCTTTGCATATGGCTCGTCGATTTTTGAATTTTGATCTATACTTCAGTACAATTTTTATTAATATTGACTGCCAATAAACCAGCTTTACTCGGCATATGCTAAATGAAATGAGATCGTCTAACAGCTTATCGGCGCTATTTCTAATGCACAGCCATGATAAGAAATGATAGTAACTTGTGATCAGATATTAGACAGCTAAATGGGCTCAGTATTCATCAGCAATTAATGAGCCACCAGAGTTAGCTGTTTGGTTACAGTTGTAGTTGTCTCTGTTCATCACCGTTGTGCACGGATTGTTAAATTATAAATAAACCTTATGTGATTCTGAAAAGAACCTGTAAACCAACTTCGGTTATTCGACTACAGATTCTACGAAATGAGTGAGGTATGAGACATCAAGAACCAGGCGAGCTGATTACAAAATGTAGAGGTTGTAGATATTATGTCCTGTGCCCTTTTGATATAAATATTTTCATTGTACGGCTCTCGTTTCTCATCCCCCTTAAATACAAACCAAAAGTTTTATAAAGAAATTCATTGATATTTTTTTTATTATAGACACATCGAAGCAAACGGTGGGTTCTGAGAACACACACAAATATCAATTCATAAAAATTACTTTTTTTCTAAATTTAACGCGAATTATGGCACGATTATGTAGTTGTGTATGGATTCACTGCAAAGTCGTTGGTTGGTAAATATTCTTGGTTGGAAATATTTTGTGACAAATAAAAAAAATATCAATTAAAAAATCATTTCAATGGTTTATCACTGAAACAATATCTTGCCGAATGTTTAATACAGTACTTGGTTGTTGAATTGATGATATATTTTCTTCATTTTTTGTTCTATGATGCGAATAATTTCAAGTGAAGATCACTCGTTGCTCACTTTATCGAATAACCCTAATATTCTCGCCCTTCCCTTAATTGTAAGAGATCTTCAATGAGACGCCCTTCGCTCTGTGTCTCATATCCTGCAATGATGCGAGGCATGGGACCAGACCTCGTCATTTAATTTTTGAACTTCGTCTAATCATTTCGTCTCTGTATCAAATGCATGTTTATTCTTGATAATGATTTTTTATGCTGCTATAGATCACTTCATTTCATTTAACGAAATTCTGAACTTAATGCCGTACAATTTCCAATTGTTCGATGTGCTTCTACCTCATTATAACTATAATCACTTCATGTAGATTCAACAGATGAAAATTTTAGCGTTTTTATAGTATTTGTAGCACAATTTTATTAAACTTCTGAGGCAGGTCGCCTACGCTCTGCGCCTTTAATTTTTTATGACATTGATTAAATTAAGATTCCTATTGCTTATTCATGCGTATCAAAATAACTTACAAAAACTAAAGAAGAACAAATATATGAAATGTCAATTGTGAAAAATTTTATTCACCCACAATAACCATTAACTTTCATTGCCCTCCATTGCAGAAAACCATCCAGAGGCATTTGACGAGTGGCGTGCTCTCCAAAACAGCTTCTGACTTTCGTTGCAATGTCTGTCAGCAAAACCTCGGGCAACAGGCTCTTCAACACATCAATGGAACGCCTCACAAGAACAAAGTCTTTTTCCAGTTGATGGTCAACCCGTCCCGATACCCCAATCTGTTCTCTGCCCTTCCTACCCAACTGACTCAGGCTCTCAAGAAAGGTGTGATCCGAGCGCATTCATCGAAAGTTGAATGCATTCCATGCGCTAAGTCGATGACTGGGGAAACTCCAGTCCTGGAACATCTCAAGAGCGAGAAGCACGCGAAGCAAGTGGCTGGGAGCCTGTCCAGCCCCGCCAGCGCTGTGGCCGCACCGACGCCTTATTTTGACTCCGGCACTGCACTTCCCAAAGCAATACAACAAGGACTGAAGAATGGCTCCATTGCAGTACGTATCGAAGCCATAAATCCTTAACAAGTTCTCGATGGGCCTACATGATTATTTCTCAGCTTAAATTTTGCATAAAGCCGAAAAATCTATTTAATCACGTTCATGTTTGCTGAAACAAAATATTTATGCTGTGTTTTATGTCATTGCTTGTTCTTACGATTTATTTTTATTCTATTTCACCGCCCCTCTATGCTTCATTTTTGTATTTTAATGACAAGATGATATAACTTATACTTATCCCTTAATTCAAGATTTCAGAAAGTAATGGAATAAAAACGTTTAAATGCAACTACTGCGACAGCTCCGTGACCGGCGACGTACCTCTGATGCAACATCTCAACGGCAATCCCCACAAGAACAAAGTCAAGGTGAATGACACTTGTGACCTACACGCCCTTATAGCACTTTATTTTCTTTGATTTGTCGTAACAATTATTATTGCGGTTGCCGGTTGAAGAAGAAATTTGAGCTAATATGATCCCGTGTGTAATTTATTGACAGGTACATATTTTATTCATTAAAATCTATCAAGTGCCGCTCAAATATTTTTGGCAATGGTGATTTAGCATCTTCTGATTTATCTTCATGTTGATGTAAGTTTCCTTCCCCAATAAGAAGTACCCTTCAAAAAATATTCTTTAAAATAGGATCGATACCTTAAAATTGCGACATTATTGTTATTTTTTAAGCCTTTACAAATAAAAATTATATAATTTGGTTTCCCTAACAGGAGCTTGAGCTGCGACGCTGCGCACAGCAGCAGCCGACGTCACAAGTAAGTTGAAGCAACGTATCAAGATTGCCAGCAATCAACTGGACACTTATTCAAATGATTGATTGAGAGATTATTCAAATGTAAATTCTACACATGTATATAAATGTGAGCAAATTTCAAATGTAAATTTCTTTATTAGTGAGCTTCTTCATTCTTCACCCCCCCCCCTTTCAGGGGGTTATGGGGTTCTTCTTATGAGGTCATGACAATATACATAAGGGTGATATGGCTATATTTTTAGGGTCAAGGAATCTTCAAAGAGTAATTAGCTATTTATAGACATGAAAATCACAAGTTAAACATTTGTGATACAAATTTATACATACAGTATCTACCATCTATAAGAGCTCGTTATCCTTACATTACTCTCTCCACGATGATAATTACTTTATAAATAATATTTTGAATGCAATATCATACCTGTTCCGTATTATTGCTTAACCTTAATTAATATTTATATTTTAGACTAGAATTTAGCGCTGTTCATTCTAAATTTCAATTGAAAATAGGTTTTATTTTGCAGATTATGTTTGCGGATCACTTCAAGTCGCCGGTTATTGCGGGGATCAGGGCAGCGATTCCTTCAGGACCCGTTGTTCCAGCGCCATCACACTTCGCTGGTCAACCATCATATGTGCATTTTTCTGCTGTGAGTCAATTATTAAATTATCAAATAAAGTAATTTCCCTAAACTTATTGCAATGATGCAGGAGGAAATGCTTCAATTATAGTCACAAACCACTTATTTACACGGCGAAACTGTATTTGAGACTCGATTTGAGTGACGTTGTCGGGGCATATTTAATGATTTAATATACAAAAAAATCAGTAACCTTGCCTTGAACTTGCGATTAATCGGCTAGCACATATTCATAATATAAATTAAAAATAATTGTACATAAGATATATTTTTTTAAACATTATTATTTGCGTAAAATATTATATTTATAAAAAGGGAGGAACGCATTGGAATGAAAAATTAAAGATATATTAGAAACAAAGTTATACATGAAATTTCTCTTGGATTTTGTTTATTCACGTCAATTATTGATAGTGACCGTTTAGCTGATTTTTTTTATTCCGGAGCAATTTTGCCGGATATTGAAATGATAATAATGCAAATTTAGATCTCGTGAACACACGAAACTCGGCAAACAAGACATAAGGTACAGTACGTATCGAAGTACATATCAGACATGCAAACAGACATATCGAAGTACATATCAGGCACATAAAGACCAATTGAAATAACAATATTTGCGTTTACCAAGTATGACAAGGAGAGAAATTTCACGAAATCAATTATATAAAATTATGCAATCATGCTAACAAATGTCTAGGATAGGGATTGTCATTTAATTCCTTGTTCTCACCATTCCAGTCATCAGCCAGCGTGCAGCCGTCGTTCTCGTTCCCTACAAATTTACAAGGAAGTCCTTCAAGCTCTCGAAGCTCCTACAACATCACCTGTTCTCCCAGAGGTTTGGTGGTCGTCTTCAACTACACCTTCAGAAGACACAGTAACCCGAGGCTCGGATGGGAAGTAGATGAAAGGAATCTGAAACATATCTTCAGAAAGTTGGAGTATAAGGTAGTTTGCCACACCGACTGCTCCAAGGCCGAAACCATCAAGCGTTTTGAATCGGCCACCGTAGAAGCCTCAGCATACGCCAGTTTCCTAGCGTTCTTCTTGAGCCACGGTTCAGGTTCATCCGATGCTTTCTCTTGCGGAGGACATGATACTGATGACGTAATCTGTATTAGGGATTTGTACATGCACCTTATAAATTCCAGGTGTCGTGGTCTAGCATCTAAGCCCAAAATTCTGTTCTTCAATTACTGCAGAGGTACATTGGAGCAAGAACGGCCTATGTTCGACAGCGGTTATTCTTGCGGTCAATCCGAAGCTCCCAGAGACGTTGCTATTGTACAAGCAGCTTTACCAGAATTCAAGGCTGCAAGACGGGAAGAAATAGGTACTGTATTTGTCCATTCTCTGTGCGAAGTTCTCGCAAGTGAAGCCAAGACCAAAGACTTGATTGAAATTGTGCGCTTGACATCGTTGTCAATGCAGGAAAAAGGAGGATCAACGGCAACAGTGCAGCCTATTGATTTTGCTACTTTTTTCTTTGCATGAAAGCGCTAAACGAGTTCAGCGTTGATTGAGCATCATCATTTAATGGCATCCAAAGAGAAATGCTGAAACGTAGAATTTTTGATGTTAAAGGTTAAAATGAAAGTCTTCCAAATCCCTGAAATGATGTTGCAGTTTAATTGTTTGATGGACGGTAAGAGTCTCAATGCATTTTAATTACAAATAAAATTATTTCAATTAGTTTATATCGCAATACCACCCTAATGTCTTTGAAGAACGAGTGGATAGGAGAACCAAAGCCAGAGCATCAAGTTTTGGATTCAACCTCACAATACGTTGTGAAAATTCTGTCGTAATTTGCGAGATAGATATTGGTGCAATGAATTGGGGGTTTGAGACTCGTAACTAGCTGTTACTATTTTGTGATGTCAAGAATCGGCAACATATATGATATATGCTAACCTTTGACGCTAACAACGTTATATATTATTTATGTTACAGATATTATTTATTACTTAAGATATTACAGTATGTATGCCTGTTGGGTAGCTTTAAAATTTGATGAGAAGGTTCCTATTTGTTCTGACTCATTACGATGTATATCCAAGTGATTATCATTCAGTCATTTTATTCAACTTTTTTTTCATTTCCCTTCATAATCAAGTCGTATTAGTTAGTCGTATAACTGAAATTGGCATACGTAACATGAATAATTTTCATCGGCGTATAACATTAATAATGAAACACCACGCATCGTTCAAATAAAGTTTGTCAAAACGCTTGCTGTGACTTTACATACCACCAACGCATTTATTTACTTAGCTCGCCGCTTATCGACTTGAATCTGCTCTGTGTAGCGGTTAATGCGGGGTCAAAGCTCCGACTTTTTTTTCTGTTGCTTTGTTTTTCTTATCATGAACATCCAAATTGGCGAGTTCCAGGAGCGCCCTTCCAGTCCGGCTCTGGAGCCCGTGAGGTGAGGTGACATATTTACCAATGCAGTTCCACTATACAGGGTGTACCAGAATTAACTGACCCTTTTAATTTGTTAATAAATAAAAAACTAAGAACGTTATGAAGTTGAAACTTGTTTTATTTAACACGTTGACTACGTATTGGTACATATGCGTACCACGAAATGTATTTCTCCAGGAGGTTGTGGTACGTAATTCAGGTTGCCTAAAATCGGGCAAATCCGAGAACAAAAAAGGCCAAAAAAGGCCGATAATTCAATGTATACTAGTTTATTTGTAGGTTCCGCTATAAAAATTCCATTTATTTTTCACGGAATTTGTCCGAAAAAAATGGCCGTCTGGCAACCCTGCTTAAAAAAAGTACAAAAAATGAAATAATTGTACAAGATGAAGCAATCGTAGTCGACGTGTTAAAAGAAGAACATTTTTATGGTAATATTGTATCCTAGTTTTTAAATATAATGTCTTTTAAATGCCCACCACAATTGTTTTGACAAAATATGGCTCTTCTCTTCGTTGCTTTCACAACCTTCATTAGTAATTCTGGCGAAAAATTATTTTTTTTTTATTAGAAAAAACTATTTTTTTGAAGGACTGATTCTTGTTTTGAAATGGATCCTGTAATCATGTGAACTTCTGTTATTGACATCGTCCTGATGTAGGTTTGCAGAATTTTCGTTCTTTCTGCTTTGCTGCAGCGAATCATGATGAAAATTTAAGGCTTGATAATTAAACACAAATTTAGCAAGCTATACAGGATAATGACGTAACTATGATACAATATTACCATAAAAATGTTCTTCTTTTAAATAAAACAAGTTTCAACTTCATAACATTCTTAGTTTTTTATTTATTAACAAATTAAAAGGGTCAGTTAATTCTGGTACACCCTGTACATGTCGCATCTGGTGAGGGCCTCGGATTATTTCGTTATTAGGCGATTATTAATTTGTCGTTACCCATCAACAGTCAATGTTTACCGTTGTTATTTATTGGTGTATGATGAACTTATTCGAAATTAAATGCTATTATAAGAAAAAATGAAAGGTGATTTTTACTAAATATTCATTGTTGAATTAATAAAATGTTTCACATTTTAGATTGCAATATATAATAAAAATTTATTGTGAAGTGTGGTAAACTAAAAAGTTATGTTATAATATCAAAAAAATAATTGAACTACGTTATTAATAACTAAAATTCTACAAAGATCTATGTACATGTTTTGATAGAAGTCAAATGAGTCTTAGTGTTTCTCAATCCATTGTAATAGATAAACAACCACATTGATAAATGATTCTTTCACCATTTTATGTGAATTATTGTGTTTGTGTTCTTTGAAACACAACTCAACTTTTATTGAAAAAATCATCGAAAAATTTAGTTGTGTAGAAATTATAAAAAATTGGACATTTTAATGAACAATTTGAAGGTTTATTATAATATGTTTTTCCTGTTATCGAAAGTTTTGTTGCCCTAAATTGCATTATAATCATTAAGATCCATTTTCGTTTGAACCGCCGCCATTTGAACATCAATCCTAGACCAGGATGTGTTAATAATTCCAGGCATGAACCCTACGTAAATAACTACAAGGAACTCTGCTCACTATACAGAACTGCTCATACATTAAAGAACACTCGGAAGTGAGAGGCTGTAAGAAAGTTTAGTTTGGAAAGCATAGAGCTTGCAGAAGGGCATGAAAGCATGGCGGAAGTCTTCAGATCCTGTTGACTGTCTTAATTGGTATGCTTTTGGATGGCTTTTCGGTGGCTTTTCAGTGGCTTTTCAGTGGCTTTTCGGCGGCTTTTCGGTGGCTTTTCAGTGGCTTTTCAGTGGCTTTTCGGCGGTTTTTCGGTGGTTGGCAGCCACTGACGCTGGGAATGGGGTACGCGGAGGCGTTACAAACCTGTTTGCAGGCCACGGCTGATCAGGCTGCCTCAGGCTCATAACGTTCTGGCTCCTGAACTTGGATTGATCTCGCAGAAATTTATTGCCTTGCTTTCTTTTTATATGCTTGAGCTGAAAAAATATTGTCAATCCTATCATAGATTTTTTATAAAGCAGCTATTAATTTTTTTTATCAATTCGAACCACTTTTGCAATGATACTTCCAATTAGTTTGCTGTTAAAATTAGTTCACTTTTCTGTACTAGTAACAATTTTGTGAGTTCGTTCGTGCAACAACTTCCTAAGAAAATAGCCTCAGATCGTAAATAGAATTATTAAATTCACAGAATCTCTCAGAAATTTACGCGCGGCGCTGAAGTTATTAATATTAAAATGCTATTAACTTTACTGCAATCTAAACATTTGTTCATTTCGAGCGTAAGCATATTTTTTCACAAAAATTTGGGCATTTGTTCTCACTGCCCTTGAAATTTCGTATCGTAATCAGTAAATGATATAATCTGGAATATATACAAGTTTTTGGGATTGAAGATAAAGATCGTAACATCATGGAAGAACGTATTGCATAGCGGCTGTAAAACGAGGCTGTAGACATCTTATTAGAATTGCAATGTTCAACATTTGTTAAATTAATACTGACAAACCATTATTAGCATGTGTTCTTCAATTTCTTCGAATATTTCTTATCATCTGCGAGCGGACTTTGTTTTCTACTTTCCTTTCGCGCTCCACCTATTAATATTCCATTTTACAACATTTTCTTCCTTAGAAAATCAAAGAAAAATCTTCAAGGTTAAAAACGTCGCAGCCCGCACGTTACAGTAGGTTACGGTTACAGCTCAACCGCAAACCATGGGTCGCCGGCTACATTATAGCCTGCTGCTGCTCGCGGTCCTATTAACTACCGTCCCAGGTTCAACGCTCGCTCAGGCAAAAAGCGAGCCTACAACTCAAACATCAATCCTTGGTGAGGAACTTAAGGAAACTATTGCACCTAACATCGAGCAAAATTGAAGTACTACAAAATCCGTAGTTGAAATATTACAAAAAATGTAAATATAATATAATAAAACTAAAATAATTCTTTAATATTACTAAATAATACTAATACGAATAATGCCGAAATATTACTACTGTAAAATTGAATATTACTAACTTAACTGATGATAAAATTTCAGAGGGTGGTGTACAGGAATCTTCCTCTGAGACCGCGACTGAAACAACAACGGAGGCATCCAACTGGCAGCCTACAGATGAAATTACTGAGCCTGGTTCGGGTTATGAGCCTGAAGACTCTCCTCAGGGTGCAATAACGGGAAAAATTGACTACTCAAGGTTAGCTGATTTTTTCTAGATATTTTTATAATAAACTTCCCGGTATTAATTGCGAAATAATCAAATCAGTATCACTCATTCAATTTTGCATGCATTGGCTGCATACATTGTTGTGCGACACATTACTCACTAAATAACATCAGGTATAACGTTTTATATCAATTCAGTTTATTACCATCATTGGATTAATTCATCTCATTGCACGAATAAAAGTTCAATATAGAAACATTGGATGTAGCATAACATGGCACTCATGATCACATGCAGGTGGAGCGTGTTCAAAGTGAACGGTCCCTCGCGAGGCGTGGTTCTTTCGGGTCTGGGAACTGAGGTAAGTTTACAAACGTTCATATAAACAACTTTCAATCAATTCTGATTAGTAGGCAAATTCAGCACAATATAATTTTACATTCTTCAAGTTTGGGATTTGATAACAGCTTGATACGGTTTTAAACAATGAATTTCAAAATTAGCTTTCGCTATTTTAAATTTCGTTGTCTTGTTCATTTGCCATCAGAAAGCAGATGTGGCAGAACGAGTCGAAGTTCTCGAGGAGCTCGAAGAAACATCCGGAGTACGTGTATTGCACGATAATCAGCTCCAGAGTAAGAATATTTTCAATATGCAACACTAAATTTATGCATTAAATGCTCTCAAAGCTCGTTTTGGTTACAAGTGATATCGGATCGACAAATTTATTATCGACAGGGAAATAATGGGTTGGTTATTTGCATTACTGCAAAATCATGCTGAAGCAAAATAAAGTAAGAGTCTACTTCATTTTATAGAACAAATATTTAAATATTTACTAATGTAAATTTTTTTCGAAGATTATTTTCAGATCGCAGTGTCGCCTGAATCTCGAGTTGAAGTGATGCTGAAGTTGGCAGAGCGAGGCTTCTCGTTGGACGATACCAACGTTGATCTCGGCAAGTGAGTTGTGCTTCAGTACTTCATACAGGGGTTCATATTACAAACACATTGAATTGATTTATGTATTATTTAATTATAATGTTGAATATTTAATTATATGAAATTCTGTACGAACATCCAAGCCATGTTACTTTAATTTAATTAGTTTCATTGCCTACGAAGGTCAGGCAGCTGTAACTTAACTCTCAACATTATTCGTATTTTCATTAAAATTGAGAATAGCTCCCAAAATTTGTGTCAACCATATGCTCGTACAGAAGAATATCCCGAGCGTCAAATTTAAGTTATTTATTTTTCATCCACTATATGCCTGTCGTGTAACATCAAGAAATGGTTCTCAGTGATGCCAAGCGTCACGAACCCTTGTGTTCTCAAGCCCGCTATCGCTATTAATTTTAGCTATTTCATTTCTTAATTAACGTATTGATCATTCAATGTGTTCGTTTGCTTGTCAGTACTTGTTTTTATTCATTATATTTCTCGTGGTAACTCGCAATTTTAATTCCACTCTCATCACAAATTGAGTCGAAGTCTGCTTCCAACAACATATTTAACCAGCATTCAATTTCTTTATGACAGGCTTATTGAAGATGAGGAAGCAAAACGCGCTTTTCGGCTGGCGCCACTAAAAGGCGAGGTCACTTTTGACAGCTACATGACTTACGAACAGGTGGGCATAATAATATTACAATCTTATCAATAGTTGGGCTTATTTCTTGGTGTTCTGAATAATCACTACACCAACCACGAATTGTGTCGCACTTATATGTCTCACCAATAATAAATTATTGTTGCAATTTGATGAACTGGGAAAATCATACGATATAGATTCATAAGAAAGGCACGCACGCCTTTGACAACGACTTTTACCGGTTGACTAACCGGCAAGCAACTGCACCTCATACATACGGAGGGCAAACTATTTTGCAAACTATTATGGCTACGTTCATAATAGTTTGATTCAACGTACACAGAATACTCTGCACTCTACATGCAATAGTTTCAGTTCATGAAGCTATAAGCCGTAATTATTAATGTTATGTATAGTTTAATACTAAAGACTGCACAACAGCTGCTTGTAACCTATATTAAAAATGTTTTCATGAAGCGGTGTACTGCAATTTTCGAACAGAAACTGAATGTTCAAGGTCGTCAGAGCCTCAGGACTCCAGTAATTAATGAGATCATCGACTCCGCTGCGCCTTGGCATGCCTTAATTGTTGTTCTTGTGTTGCTGCTCTGCGGTTAACTTAGAAAGCCTCCAAGCGTTGATCTTTGCCAGCTGCTTTGTGATGCTCCTCCTATAGTGCTTCTCTGCCTTGTACTTTTTTATCCGCCCTGCGCTGTTTTTCTCGTATTTTACCCTCTCCTTTATCTTATTTTGGTACAATATTTTGTGCCTGTTCAGCTGCACCTTGTCACTCTGCTACCTGCCTTGCTAGACGTATGTTTTTTTGTTACTTTTTGGCCCCCTCAATTATAGGTTCTTTGATTTGATATTTGTTTGCTGACGTGATGTATTCTTATTATGTCTGCCATGTCTAGTCTTTCTTTGGCCGTCTTGTATTCTTCTTATCTAATTGTCGTTCCTGTTCTTATTTAGCAACTTTCTCTTGTATTTATTTTTCTCTTCTATTATTCTCTTACCGGTCGATTTGCTCTGCCCTCATTTTGCTGATGTTTGCGTTCAGTGTCCGCCTTGATTTTTTCGCGGATGGTAGCTAGTTATGAATAGTATAATAAAATTTTGGATAAAATATATTGAGATCTTGTTTTGCATTTTTTGATCTTAGTGAAACGAGAAAACACCCGCTAGTTACTTAATAATTAACGGCTCTCTATTTGATAGTTATTTTTTCGCTTCGAAAAACGAATGTAATGTAGAAATATATTGCATCGCAAATTGGCCATTTTTCTCAAGCAGGAAGTTAAAGGGCTAAAGTGTAAAGGGAAAATGTTTGTATTTCAGATCGAGAGTTTCATCACAGAGTTCGCTAACCGACATGCTGACGTGGTGAAGCGAAGCGTGATTGGCCAAAGTGTGGAAGGTCGAGACATCCACATGTTGACGTTGACGAATGGTCCAAGAGCGACCCTCAGTGGAGCTCGACGAAACCGACAAAGCTCAGCGTTCCCTACCAACTCGTCTCCTAGCATCGATGAAACGCTGAAAGCTTTGGCAGGAATTATAAGCTGGAGTGACAGTAAAACTGCCGATTCAAGCGTCCAAGATCGCAAGGAAGAGGAACTTGACCAGCGCAAGAATGACCCAAAACGCGCCGACCCCGTGATACTGAATGAATCCAGGACAACAGAAGGATCCAACATCCATGAGTTTCTTGATCACATGGTGCATAACATGCCATATGCTTTGATAAACGGTGAAATGCCTGCAGAAGGAGCAATTGAAAACACCTACTCGACTCTCAAAAAAATTATGAACGTGAGCCCAGCTCGAAGCGATGATTTTTCCTTCAATAACTTCCCGAATGAACCTCGTGAAATTCACATAGCATATAAGGTCCTGCAAAAAATTATTAACTCTGATCCAAACCATCCAAAGAATATTGGAATAGAAGGCGGAGAAGATGGTACTGTTATTAGCAGTATAAACCGAATTGCTAAGACACTACACTTCAGAAGCGCCAATAGAACAAGTTCGGACCCAAATCAAATCGACAGAGAAGCGGAAATATTGCTCATTGTAACGTCCATACTTCCAAGCGAATACACCAGAAACAAAACTATTGTCGATTCAGTGACAGAATCAGTTAGAATAATCCTTGAAAATCTGCCTCGGGGAAGCAATTTGACCGATGAAATAGTAAAACAGATCGCTCCTAAAATCGTGCAGATTCCTGGAGTTGTGGGGGTCGCTTCAGATAGCCGGCAGACGCGACCTGATCTCATTACTAAGTTGGAGCGAATTTTGCTTGCTAAGAATTCTTCTCAAGACACCGATACGCCAAACCAGTCATCAAAAAATAACCAGATGGAATCCGATATACCAATTTTGAAGGCATCGACTAAGAAACCTGTTATTTTCATCGACGGTGGTAAGTTAATCTAAGTTAACTGACCTGTGAGAGAACGTGAAATATTCCCTGAATCCCATCATGAAGATCACGCAGAAGCTATTTTCTTTTTACAACACACTGCGAAAAATTTAAGTTTTTAAAAAGAGGTAATAAAAGTGAGTTAAAAATCGACCGATAAAGCATACCGGGGAAAGTTTTCGACAAAAATTCGAACAGCCATTGAATAATTTTTCTTAAGTCATCCATCTTCGCCCACAAATATATCTCTCCAAAATTTCCTTTTATTCTTCAGCCATGCCTGTTGATGATAGACATGATATTCACTTATAATAATAACACCTTCAGGTATACACGCCAGAGAGTGGATATCGCCCGCATTCCTGATGTACGCGCTCACGCAGCTGGTGGAGAGTCCCGACCTGCTGGAGGGCATAGAGTGGCGGCTGGTCCCCGTGTTGAACCCCGACGGCTACATCTACACTTGGAAGTCGGTGAGTGCCCCGACGGCTACATCTACACTTGGAAGTCGGTGAGTGCGCCTCAAAACGTTCAACAAAGACTAATCAGGGATTATCTTTACAGAAAGGAGATGCATTTGTTTAGGCGTTTTCATCGTAATATGTCCCTGATCAGAATAAGTCATGGCCATGAATAAACAAACAAAAAAACAACAGATGCACTACTCAAAGAAATATAAAACTATCAAGGATATTTACCGGACTTATTTTTAGTGCATTTTCTAATTCATGGAAAAAATGCACTATTGTGCTCGCCATGTCCGTCTGTCTGTCTGTCTGTCCGTCCGTCTGTCCGTCCGTCCGTCTGTCCGTCCGTCTGTCCGTCCGTCCGTGACCTCAATTTTCGTCGACGAGAAAATGCGCTCTCTGTCACTCTCTGCAGTGAGTACTGAGTTATATTTTTTAGATTTCATTTAAAACATGTTTCAAATTGAACATTATATTTGCTTCCAACCAATTCGTTTCTCACATAATGGGCCGCAATACGAATTTATTTTCAGCCAGAGAACCAACAGTTATAATTTTCATTATAATTTTTATAAAGATTATAAAATCCTTATGATTTTATAATCATTATAATTTTTATTATGATTTTTATAAAATATAATGATATTATAATTTTTTATAATGATTAGATTCTCCCAAAACAACTGTGACTGAATCAACTTATACATTTGATTTCCCACAAGAGCTTTGCCTCATTTTGCATTTTTATCCAAAGTTCCACCACTATTTTCAATGAACAATTTCTCTAATTAAATAATGTAAAAATAATTTCTCTCAATAGGATCGCATGTGGAGGAAGAATCGCTCAAAGGCGAACCGCTACTGCTACGGTGTCGACCTCAACAGAAATTTCGGTTACAAACATGGAGGTAAATAAATTCAAGTTCAGTCTTATTTTCACTTGCTTCAACCTAAGGCTTTGTCTTACTTGAGAATTTAAATAAGGTGCAATATATGTAAAATATAAAAAGCCAGGATTAACAAACGGGGAAGCCAGTAGTGAAAACAAATGAAATTAAAATTAAGGAACGTAATCGTTAGAGTACTGTATAAAGAGCATCATCATCATAACAAACTTGATCGTTAATCACAATCATACAAAAGGGGCAAATTATTCTTAATTCAATCATTTTCTGGAAAGTCACCATTAGTTGTAGAAATCGTATATAATAAAACAGAGGGCGTAGAAATAATCGTTCTGGTATTCCAGGAAGCGGTTCGAGTAGCAACCCTTGCTCAGAAATATATAGGGGACCTTCAGCCTTCAGTGAACCAGAATCTCAAGCTCTGAAGAAGGCAGTGGAATCTGTGAAGGACAGACTCAAGGCAAGCATTAATTTAAACAAAAAATATTACGAGCTTGTTCTGATTTGAACGATTTTTGATTTTAGAACGAAAATGACTGAATAAAATTATTTTCTCTTGTGAAGAAAAAACAATGTTTCAGAAGATCTTTCTGAGACATAATAATGGCACTATACTACAGCTCACACTCAGTTTATCGGCGCCTTTATATAATATTAGTACTAATCATAGATTCCTAATATTCGCAGAATATAAGTTTTAATACCCATTGATGGTATAGAAAGTGCGTCATTTTAGTATAAGTTAATGTAACAAATCGTCATTTGTTGACGTAATCGCCACACCGGGCACCCGCAGGCATACGTGACGGTTCACAGCTACGGTCAGATGATTCTGCACCCTTGGGGCTACACGAGCATCAGGCATCCTGACACGGAAACTATGGTAATTTCAACACCATTTTGGGTTTATTGTTTATTTATCATATTTTGAGTAAATGCTATAATTTAGAGGCTTAATTCCGTGTTTGGACATTCTCAAAATCTACTATAGCAAATCAGTTTAAATTTTATATACATTTTTCATTCAATTATAAGCAATGTGATATCGTGCTCGCTTACTTATCACAGTTTCCATCATACTATGAAACGCCCATTCAATGTGTTGATACCGTTAATTATACGTTCAAATTCAACAGAATTATATGGGTCAAGGCATGGCAGAAGCAATTCGAGCAGTCAATGGCAAGCACTACTCCGTGGGCAGCGCGGCAGGCATTCTATGTAAGTGTAGGTCGGCCAGTAGCAAGTAGAGTGGGCCATCAATGTAATTGCATGGAAACTTTCAATTGAAAGACCGGCTCAATTCACACCGGCACAAGCTCAATGCATCTTAAACCGAATTTATTTGGCTCATTGCCAACATCAGTTATTAATTTATTAATTTATTTGACTCATTGCCAAAATCAGCTTTCGGCTATCAGTGTTTTCGTGGGCAACGAGTTCGTCAGACCAGTGTCCTCGGTAGACCTTAAAATCCCCCCGGGTACTTTGGTAGGCAAATAATTTCACTTTATTTTCTTACTTCATACGTAATGAAGTAATTGATTAAACTTTTAAATTACCCAGAGTGTTTAGGAACACACACCCAAGGTCATCTAAAAGCACCACCTCTCCGACGGCGACTAAACGCCGTCCAAGCAACACCGGGAGATTAACTGAGCTTGCCAGGGCTCGAACCCACGCCTAGCTCGTCCATCTCGGTGTCACCGTCCCAAGCGCATACAGTGGAGCTACACTGCCGCTAACCACTGCGCTACAGTGACGCTATACTCGATATACAACCACGGCATTCAGCTGGGCTCAGAACTGTTGATAAACAACCAACTACGTTACCGAAGTCACCCCGCTGGCCTTTGCGTGCTTTGCCACTAATTCATTGCGTCAGTCGCTATGTCTTGAGTCCGATCCTCGAGACCCTCGTCCGATCCCCCGTTGATGACTCGGAGACGGAGCGCAACGAAGGAGGCGCATCAGCGTGACCGGGGACTAGGAAGTCTCAAGCTCATCATAAGGTCATAAGGTGCAGAGTGGCGCTCGGCCTGACAAGATTGGACTACGGCAATGCCACCCTCAGTAGACTTTCAAACACGGAACTCAATAAACGGCAATCCGTGTGAACGCGAGGCTTGAGTGTGTCAAACAAAAGCACGATTTTGTGACACCAATTTTTTGCGGTCTTTACTGGCCTCCCATCCAATACCGTTCGCAGTTCATGGATTTTGCTTTCCGCAACATTTTTGCTCAGACCCCTCTCAGTCGCGATGGCGGTTCTTTCTCGGGAACTTTCTCGGGAGCCGCGGCTAGAACCTGGAATAGTCTGACCGCTTCTGTAAAATCGGCTTATTCAGAGTCTGTGTTTCGTCGCTGCCAAAAGGCGGAACAATTTTCTAGTATAGTACTCGTAGACATTTACAACCTCTTTTTTGCCTTTTTTGCTCACTTTCAAACTCCTACTTAATTTTCTCAATGTGCAAAGCTCTGTTGTGCCTGAGTTTACATTCATTTCTTCGTAGAATAATAATACTTATAATAATTTGTGTAGACCCCTCGGCGGGCGGGTCGGACGACTGGGCCAGTAGCGAAGGAGTCCTGTACTCATACACGGTGGAGCTGCGCGACACAGGCAGCACAGGCTTCATCCTCCCCGCCAGCCAGATCAAACCTACGGTACGTGACCATCACTTTGATAGCTTACATTTATATTAGCGTCATCATAGTTCAACTATCACTGTCAGTTACAACCGTCGGTACCTAATGCCTCACTTTAATTGCTTGGCTTAAGGTTAGCGTCATTATTTCTCAACAGTCACCAAGAACACCCTTGTGCTTTACATTAAGAAACTATTTTCATTGAGTTATGGCAAAAAAGTGCCACTAGGTTGTGATGTGAGGATTTGCCTGAGAAACAATTGTTTCTCAGGCAAATAATTGTTACCTTATAAACATAAATCTAGGCGTATTTTTTAGTTCATCGCTTACTATGCCTATTTTCAGGTCGTCGAGACATGGGCGGCCATCAAGTACATGGGCAAGAAAATAATAGAAGAAAACCCTGGTTTCTACTCGGCTACAGTTCCCCAAGACTTGACACAGAAAGAATTAGACGTCCTCAAAGCTATCGAAAGTTTCAGTCTCAAGTCACGTCCAGACCTGGCAGGTGTAACGACGTCGCCGGTTAATCCTTTTGACGGATTTGCAGTCAACTTGTTCAGCGGAATACCAGGCCATGCTGGAATAGCGAACCCATATATTTATCCTTTAGCTCCACTTTTTGGCGTTCCAAATTTAGGCTTTGAATTTGGTAGTTTTGATCCTAGGCCTGTTAATTCTGCGAATTCCGAAAATTTCGGACTATTTGATCCTGAAGGTTATTATGACGGCAGCGAGTTTCTAAATGCGCATTTCAATCAAGCTTTGAACTTTGGATTCCCTGGAGTTGGCTACCAAAGTCAGGCTCATCGAGCGCCTCCATACCAAAACTCGCAATCTTTTCAACTTCCCGATACCCAGTTTTTCTCAGGAGGACCTTCACCTCGACCTCAAAGCTTCCGATCACCTGTGTCAGGAGACCAACCTTCAATTAATCAAGCTCAAGATTATTTTCACCAACCTAATAAATACAAAGACAGTTTGCCGCAGCAGCCCGGTTTCGTTCACTCTAGCCAGCCTACACAATTCAACTACCAGAATCCTTCTATTTTTAACTTACCATTTCCCGCACTGCTTCCAGGCCCTGCATTCTTGCCGGGTATACTAACCTCAAGCCAATTTGGCGGTGATCCCATTCAGTACAACAGTCCAATGATTATCAAACCGAGCTTTCCCGATAATGAAGTTCAACCGGCTCAAGGGTTCTTGGGATACCAATTCAAGGATAATGAGCAAGGCTTTAACCAACCAGCCCACTTTTCTACAAAAAGCCAACCTACTCCTTTTATTCCTTCCCCTACCTTTTCAAGTCAGCCTTTTCGTCCTATCATTCAGTCACACGCCTCATCTCCTGCTAAAGCTCAATTCAAAACGAATATTAATGCTGCCACCGCCCCCGAGGTCCCATCAGCTGAACCTAAATTTTCTCATCCATTTTTGAACTCCCCAAACGTGCTCGTTTCTCTCGGTAGTCCCCAAAATGATCACTATTCCTTTAGGTACGATGGTCCTCAAGACTACCCTGGCGATGGGAAATTCATACCAATTGAATTCTCGAGATCTTTGAGTCAGTGAGTTATTGAAATTTAGCGCGACTGCATGTCTTATGTCTATTTATTCGATTATTTATTATTCAATTTAGTTAGACTCTAGTGTAATGGGACGCATTATTTTCATTAAAACATCTGCATGTTACCCTGGTCAGCATTTAAAGTGCTAAAGACTTAATCAACATACTTGATTTCGTATTGAATAAACTACTTTATTCCAGTCGCTAAAATTAAACAAAATGTTTTTGATGTCATTCAGTATCGCGAGGGTGCAAAATGGATCTAGAGTGTAGGGACCGAAATGGTCTGAGTTACAAAAGTATGCAGAAGAGTTTCATTTCCTTTTAGTCACAACGGTTGCGATACCCAGCGTGTTTATTATCATATATTATTAATGCATTGAAACTTATACAACATTTTTATTTTTCGCAACTCACTACTGCAATATTGTTCTTCCCGGGATACTTTCAAATTTATTTTTAGAAATTGTCATTCAGTAGTAGACTAATTGAATTGGCTTTGTTCATTTACATTGATTTTTAAATATTTTAGCGGAGTCTTGAAGATTATGTTGTTTGGATCAAATAGATGGAAAATTACTTCAGCAAATTTAGTTTGAGCTATTTTCTCATACTTTTTGCAAAAAATTAAACTATTTATTCACGTGAAATGTTTATTGTACGAATCATAATGTTTGTTCATGAATCATGAAATCAAAATAATGAAATTAATTATCGCATCAAGAACCATTGCCTGCGATTACAAATTAATTTGTTAACTTTCAAATATATTGACATTATTGTTGGGTAAAGTTTTCTTGCCTGGATTGTCTGGCAATTTCTTCAGCGAAGAACTCGATGCCTTTCCAGACCTCAGTTACCTTAGGAAGAAACAATCCTTTATGTTATATCTAAAATGACATTCATGTCAAATATAAGGGGAAATCTTAACTCCAGGACATGAGTTGTGTTTAATAGGAGTACAATGAAGTTTCATTGTTAATGAGCCAACAAATAGATCGCTATGTATACAATTTATTTTTAGATTGCGTTGAGAACAAATTGCTTTGACAAATCAATTATTACACATGAAATTCACAGTCAACAAATATTTTAATACCCGATAGTACGTATAGGGATACATGTTTTATGCTGTTGCGCGACTACTTAATATGTATTGTCTAGAGAGAATATCCATGCATCTTCGTTGAAACGTTGTTTCTTAAATATTTTCATCACGGATAATACATGATGAACAAACATTTGTGTAACATACTGCATCCCGAATTTTATTTTCAGGGTAAAGGAAGCCGTGATGGCCTTTATCCTGAAGTTCAATAGCCAAGGAGTGAGGGACGCCTAGCGAGGCCACCCAATCCATGCTGGTCCCAGAGGCGGGGTCTGAGAATAAGACTAACAAGTTCTAAACTGAAATCATTAAAGTTATAACCTGGCCATTACTAGTACATGCTTCAAATTTCTGGCTGGGCTTTTTTTATGATGATTGGAATGACAGTTGCCCAGGGATGCCTGAGGCTGAAGAAATCGTCATAGATCGTGTAAACCAAAAGGAGTACGTTTAGATCACCAAATGCTGTTCTGTTTGCTCTACCGTCATTATTTTATTTCTTGCAACCGGTCAGCTTATTTAATAATTTAGAATCAGTTTTATCCTTTCTTAATTCAAGCATGAGAAAAATATCGATTGTTGATGAATAATATACAGATATGCAGTCTTAATATTTGATATCCACAAAGGAGAACTCGATCTTTAAGTCAACAAAAAGTAAAAAACCTACAAAAGCTTTTGTAGGTGTTGAAAACGTCGAATTTCGTGCCCCTTGCCTTGCTAATTGCTTTAGCCATGCCTTCCCCCAAGTCCGTCTGAAAAATAAACAAGTATTTTAATGAAATTTCTCAGAAAATTTTTATACAAGCTTTTTACAAATATTATTTTCACACCGCTATTAATTGTGTACCACTGGAGGAGCTAATGAAAAAATACCAATTGCTTAGTATTCAGATTCAGTTAAGAGAACAAAACTTGAGAATTTGGCAGTAGTTGTTGTGTCGTTATTGCGTGGAAATTCCTACCAGGAATTCTAGTGGGCTTTTTCTGCTCAATTCCTTCTTCTCTCTCAGAAAAAAAGTAAATTAAGCAAAAACTCAATGATTTCTGAATGAGATTTTTAACCACATAAGTATTTATGTCACTAGATTGCTTGAATCGCAGATTCACTAGAAATTTAAAACCGAAGAAAACTTCACAAAAATTCAGCATTTCTCTATTGAAAACGTTTCGGAGACCAGCTCCATCGTCAGTTCGATAAATCTAGAACACAAATACAGTCAGAAAATTAATAAAGTTTGGAGTCAAAAGAAAAAAAACAACAGAAGTTAAGACCTAAATTTTCAGGCAAAGGGGTAGAATAATAAAGAAATACCTATCTATTCACAATTTCTAATGGATATGGACTGGAGGCAGCATTTAAACTAGGCTTCTCTTTGAAAATATACAATGATTCCAAATGCGCAGATTGGAAGCACCAGAACTATAAGCTAAAACCTTAAAGTCAGTGTCGGACACCGGGACGTTGCACTGTTTGGCGTGAGTGCGCACAGCCAAATGAGGAGGTCGTGATAGTAACTGCCCAGTCTTATAATTCCTCCCTTTATGCTCAGCGACCCTAGTGTAAAGGTTGCGTGCCGTCATCCCAACGTACGCAGATGCACATCGTGCACAACTAAATTTATAAACTAGGGACGATCACATGTGAGAAGAGAGGATATCTCTGTACCTAAAAAACGAACCTATTTTCAAATTATTTACCAGTAAGATACGGAGATTAATGTCCGGAAAGTATTTCATAGATAAATCTTTTAATTCCCTTGACATAACTTCGGAAGCATGGCCGAAGTATGGAAAAGAACAGTAAACCACTTTTATACTATTAGGTTATGGAACAACTTCACTATATCGCTTAGACATGAATTTCTTAATCTGGGTAAACACCATGCCAGAAGGAAATCCATTAAGCGAGAAGACATTGCGCAAACATTCAAATTCAGAATGCATGGCATGGAAAGTCGAGCAAATACGGAAGCCGCGGTGTAATAGTGTTTTAAAGCCTGTTTAACTTGAACCTAAAAGAACAAAAACTAAAATAGCTGGTGCTTAGGCTGGTGAAAGTTGATTTTCTGAAAACAGATGTTTGAAAACGGCCATTAGATTTAGTAATATTGCGCTATTGAACTAGAATTAGTTAATTAGTTAATAATTGAACTAGATTTAGTTCAGGACTTAACAATGGCCTCTTTTGACGTGGAAAATTTATTTACAAATATACCGCCTTTTGAAACTAATGAGATCTGTCTAAATACTTTGTTTGAAGATACTCATGATACTGTTATTGGTTTGAACCGGAATTTTTTAAATCCCTGCTGGAATTATCAGTTTTAAATTCGATTTTTATATTTGCTGGTAAATTTTACTGACAGATTGACGGTTTGGGCAAGGGTCTTCCCTCGGCCCAAACTTTGCGAATATTTTTATGTATTTTCACGAGGTTTCATGGTTGACCAATAATTATCCTCCTGATTTTAAACCAATTTTTTAAAACAGATATGTCGATGATACCTTTCTTATTTTCAAGCATCCCTCTCATGTAAAACTTTTCTTCGATTACCTAAACTTGCAACATAATTCTATTAAATTTGCCATGGAACTTGAATCGAACAATAGTTTGCCCTTTCTAGACTGCAATATTACTAAATCTAATGGCCGTTTTCAAACATCTGTTTTCAGAAAGTCAATTTTCACCAGCCTAAGCACCAGCTTTTTTAGTTTTTGTTCTTTTAGGTTCAAGTTAAACGGGTTTCAAACACTATTACACCGCGGCTTCCGTATAAGCTCGATTTTCCATGCCATGCATTCTGAATTTGAATTTTTGCGCAATGTGTTCTCGCTTAATGGATTTCCTTCTGGCATGGTGTTTACCCAAATTACGAAATTCATGTCTAAGCGATACAGTGAAGTTGTTACAGAGCCTGATAGTAGAAAAGTGGTTTGCTGTTATTTTCCATACTTCTGCCATGCTTACGAAGTTATGTCAAGAGAATTAAAAGATTTGTTTATTAAATACTTTCCGGACATTAATCTTCGTATCTTACTGGTGAATAATTTCAAATATGTTGGTTTTTTAGGAACAAAGATATTCTCCCTTCTCACATGCGATCGTCCCAAGTTTATAAATTTAGTTGTGCACGATGTGCATCTGCGTACGTTGGGATAACGGCACGCAACCTCTACATACACTAGGGTCGCTGAGCATAAAGGGAGGAGTCATAGGACTGGGCAGTTACTATCGCGACCTCCTCATTCGGCTGTGCGCACTCACGCCGAACGGTGCAACGTTCCAGTGTCCGACACTGACTTTAAGGTTTTAGCTTATAGTTCTGGTGCTTCCGATCTGTGCATTTTGGAATCATTGTATATTTTTAAAGAGAAGCCTCGTTTAAATGCTGCCTACAGTTCTTGCCCATTAGAAATTGTGAATAGATAGGTATTTCTTTATTATTCTGCCCCTTTGCCTGTAAATTTAGGTCTTAACTTCTGTTGTTGTTTTTTCTTTGACTCCAAACTTTGTTAATTTTCTGACTGTATTTATGTTCTAGATTTATCGAACTGACGATGGAGCTGGTCTCCGAAACGTTTTCAATAGAGAAATGCTGAATTTTTGTGGAGCTTTCTTCGCTTTTAAATTTCTACAAAAGTATTTATAACACCTAATTGGGAAATACGATCGTAAACTTTTAGACACTACTTATCTGATAAAAAGCAATTTGTGACTCAGGAGTATGTAGTAGCCAATGATTTAGGCGTTACTATAGTATTAGGGAAAAATATACTTATTGCAATACCATGTTTTTGAGGTTTGGGTGCACGTCGGGCTGATAGGACCAGGGCAGCATGATGACCTGGGAGTAGCTGTGCAGCGAAATGTATCCCTGCAATTTAACAACATTCTGGGAAGCTCGGGTAAAAAATAGCATTTTGGATATATATTATGTATTTATTATGTATTTAACGTTATTTAGGTAAATAAGCTCAATTATCGGTCAAATTTATCCCGAATAGAAGATGTATTGTGCAGTCTCTTCCGATCTAGACATCAACTGACAGGAATAGGCCTTTCATATTCATATGCTAACAAGAAGTTTTTGTTGTGCGGACTGCATTATTAAAAATTCTGTCGTTCATATTAGACTAAATAAAGCTAAATATTGCAATGGTAATCCTTTTTATTGTGAAAATTGGCTATGAAGCAGAAAGAAATAACATGAACCTTGACTTCACTCCTAACTTCCAAGAAGGCATCCCTCACGGCGCGCGTCTCTGGCTCGCTGAAGGCCGCTGGCCCGCGGAAGATATCGCTGCAGGGCCTCCTACTGGAGCCGATACCTGAACAATATTTGGCTGCATTTTGTGACGTTATTGGATTTTATTGGGTTAAACTTTCATGAGTTAGGAATGGAAGTTCCCTCTTTAAATTTTGAAGAAAGACATGGTGTTGATGTCTTCAAAAAAATACTTCCACGAGAAAGATATTACTTACTTTCAAAAATTGTATGTTCCCATTTGTGCGAAATAAATGCGTCCTTAATAAATTTTGATCAAAATTTGAAATGATGCAAAACTTTTCACCTTCGAAATTTACGTCATAGTTGCGGTTGAGATCCACGCCCTGGCATCGGCCAATTCCGCTCTTTCTGTTTTTCCTCCACAAGCGATTCTAGATTGAAAACAATACTTATTGACTGACGGTTACCCTTATATATTTCATATCTTATTAAACTATTCATAAATAATTATCACCGTCTGAAAAGAAATTTCATTGACATCAGAAAACATTTCGGGAAAATAGTTCCAGTAGAGCAAGACTGTTTTGAGCACTGGACTGCATGAAGGTTCACGTAAGAAATGCAAACAATATTCGTATAAGTTAGAAAGACTTATGAGAATTACCGACCGTATTCCAGGAGTAAGCGTATCCGTCTGGGTTAACGACTGGAACAATACGCCACTCGACCTGCCGTGCTGGGCTACTGGGCTGTTCCAGCAGTTGCTGGATAGCGTACAAGCTCGTGGACACAGACAGCCACTCCCGGGCGTGCGTGCCTGGCACGGTGTATATATGTATTTATCCAAAACACGCAGATCACATATCTTTTTTTTAATGGCCGTTGCATCGCACTTCCAAAAAAGATTTTAAATATATTATAAGTGAACGTGTAAAATTCCCCAAATCCGCGCAAATCTGGATTCTGATATTTATAAAATAAATAAATGGTCGCAAATAAAGTCAGAAATTGTCAGAAATAAATAATTAATCGATAAATGGATAAGAAGCCTTCACAGAAAAGAATAAAAAGCTTTTTATGTAGCGAATAAGAAGCAGCCGGAGTAATGAATTAGACACATTCATGGTAATAAAGGCATGGTGGGAATTTTAAGCGAATTTATTTCATCCAAATAATAATTCATCTCTATCGTTGTCCTCACCGGAATCAAGGAAAACTACTGGAGACACATTATTGGCTCCAGCTAATGATGCAGCCGGCGATATTTGGCTTTTGATGATCATCTGGAGAGTTTTATGCATGTTAAGGAAAGTCATGTTATCAAAAATAGAGACCAATTTATACTTGATAATTAAAATTTATTTCCTGGGAATGTTTCTATTGTCAATTCTACTTAAAATTTGCATGGGATTCTCTTGGTCTCTGGGACAGATTCCTAGGATTCATGGACATTTAGATTCTGAAATTTACTTCATCACTTGGAATTGTGGAGAACCTTGGCAATGATATTTTCATGGCCCTACCATGTGAATTGGTGTGCCATTTTCAGTTTTTCCGATTTGCTTGACCCTCGCCTGGTCTGGATGCTTGACTACCAATTCGTCCAGAAAATTTTCGACCTGAAAAATATTTATGAATGAAGATATTATAGGAAGAATAAATTTTGTATCGAACAACAAAATGACAGAACAAAACATTCTTAATAATAAAATTTTTTGTTCTGAAAAGTGTCAGTTAAAATGTATTGAAACGGATGAAATTTTCATATTTTGCAAAAAAGCTTTTCCAAGGTGAATTAAACTTTTAATAATTATAATTTACTATGATGCTCACCTCCCTCAACTCGAGGAAGGCATCGGTAATTTTCTTTGTTTGTCGGAATATTGAGGGCGATGCAGAGAACAATCTGTGAACAAACTTTGAGTTGTCTAGAGTGTAGACAACACTCTACACAATAACAGTAACCGTAACCAAACAGTACAGCTCTATTTTGATGGGTTATTTCGGGAAATATTGCCAAGTCTAGTAGAGTTATTACAGAGAAATTCCTAGAAAACGAGAGAAATAATGCAATATTCGGCCTGCTGAAAAAAACAAGTTCTCACCGCAACGAGTTAGTCTACAGACACGACGGAACCTAGATTGCAAACAAAATTAATAAAATGATCGGATTCAACCAACTGCTCGACGTCCTGTGCAACAACAGTCACGTTGAAGTCGTTTTGTCTCAGTTTCTCTTGCGCGTCTCGGGATATTGGTGGCGCTACAGCAACCTCCACGGGTCCTGCCGAGAATGTTCTAGTGAGTAAATGTTAAATATGAAACTTTCATCAGCTTCAATACATTTTAACTGAGACTTTTCAGAACAAAAGTTTTTATTATTAAGAATGTTTTGCTCTGCCTTTTTGTTGCTCGATACAAAATTTATTCTATCCATAATATCTTCATTCATATATATTTTTACAGGTCGAAAAATTTCTGGAAGATTGGTAGTCAAGCATCCAGACCAGGCGAGGGTCAAGCAAATCGGAAAAACTGAAAACGGGACTCCAATTCACATGGTAGGGCCATGAAAATATCATTGTGGAGGTTCTCCACATTTCAAAGTGATGGAAGCTAATTTCAGAAGCTAAATGTCCATGGGAAATGAACAGCAAGGAGCGTCCTCTCATCGCGGCGGATATACGCAACCCAATCGAAGACTTACGTCTTATCTAAAAATATCTTGATTAGGAAATTTATATATTTAATAACATTCAGTAAAAAGATCACAAATGGATGCACCACGATTACGATATTCCGATGACGATAAAATAATCAAACAAAATTTTCACCTTACTGGCACTCTCTTATTATCCAATTATAGAACCGATATATAATAAAGCAAAGTTTTTGCTTCGGCTCACCATTAGTGTTATACTCAGACATCAAAACCGCCACTCCATCGTCAAACCAGTCGCTGAAGAGCTGCTCTACGTCAACACCAGTCGGGCAGCAAGCGGACAATTTCTGCCACCTGAAAGTGCGAGGTAACTTCTAACTTTTAAGTAATTTGTATCCAAAAACTTCTGTGTTGGTTTAGCGTCATTGTAATATTTGTAAAAGTATCATCAATTCACTTGCTACTAAATTTATTGTCATTCACTCTTTGCCGGATAAAAGGTTCAATACATGGTGGTTTACAAAAAAAGGTTCAAGGTTAGTCTCTCTCACGACTAACGTTTGAAAGCTGGGTTCCGTAACTAAGCGATGATTCAATAGTTGAATTAATAAAAAATGAATCACACTTACGTGAGTCATGATTATACATTTTACTTTCCTTAGTCTTAGACAAAATTTTTATTGAAGGTTTTGTGGGAACCACCAAATTGGAACATTTCTTCAACATATTGTGGAATTCAGAGGACGTCCAATTAATTAAAAAATAAAGAGTAAATAATGGTAGAGTTACCACCGCTTGCTTTGGCCCTCTTCAACAAATACCTCTTCGTCAGCCGCTGTCTCTCAATTAAGGCCGGTTCTCGAGTCCCTCGTGGTGGCGCTTGAACTGACCAGATTGGACTGTAAACTGATTGGACCACACTCTGTGGACTTCTGACCACGGCATTAAATAAACTGCTAACCGTAATGAACGCTGCTGCACAACTCATGTTCAATAAGCGAATATTCTACCACGTGAATTCAGCCGATATTCGCAATCTTCACTGCCTTCGCATTCAGCAGCGCACGCAGTTTAAGGTCGCTGTTCGGACGTTCCGATGGCTTCATGGTCTGGCGCCTTCTTATCTCACGGAATGTATGAAGTGCGTCTCAGATCTGCCTTCCAGAAGACGACTACGTTGGTCATCAACAGCGGACCTTGTCGTTCCATCTACACGTCTATCTACTGTTGGAGACAGACCGTTCCCGGTCGCCGCCGTCGGAACCTGGAACAGTCTGTCGTCTTCCGTAACTTCGGCTCCTTCGTTGGAGGTGTTTCGTCGACGCCTAAAGACGGAACTATTTCGTAGAGCCTATGAATCAAATGCTTAGTCGTTTCTATCCGTTCTCATGCTTATTCGTGTCGATTAGTTTTTCACTTATTATTAAATTTGTGTATAATGTGCCCTCGAAGTTCGTTTGAACCGGACGACAAGATATCTGCTTCGTAGAATAATAATAATATCCTCACATTTTTGATAGACACTTTCGTGTTTCAAATTGGAATTCGGGGATAAAGAAAATGCAAAGTAAAATTAGAATTTTAACGAATCATTCTTTAATTCAAAGTACTTTAGTATGAGTATTATTCCTGCTAAAATACCAATTATTTTCCATCAGGCGATCATAAGTTCTAAAAGATTTTTTGTATCGTGAACAATGCCGGGCCGCTGCTTCTAGGTATTAATACGGGGCCATTCACGGAAACTTCCTGTTATTTTATTTCGCTCCAAGCAGCCAGATGATGTATGTAAAGGGCAGGGAGTATTTCATATGGACAGCAAGGTCATGAAATTTTGTGTCCTGCCTACTCAAGGACCCTAGCTTTGTGTCATCCTAGTCAGGATGGAGTCACGGCCCACACATCGCGATGTTTCAGTGGATCTTCTGAGACAACATTTTGCAGAGCGCCTCGTCTCCATGAGAAGTGACCTTCTGTGACTGGCTCGATCCCCTGATTGGGCTCATTGTTTTTTATGGGGTTAACTTAAATCAATTGTTTACAATGACTATCCAAGGGCCCTACCTCATTTGAAGAACAACATACGAAAAGACAGTTATTAACTCACCCTGTATACCTGCCGTCCGAGTAGCTCTCATCCAGCACGGATAACCACTTGTCTCCAGGGATGCGGCCGTATCGCTCGTATATACTCTGGAGGATGACATCTTCTTCCTTTACTGGTAATGCATTCATCACTGGAATCAATGCATATCCTAATATAAATAGTAATAATACCAAGTGAACTGCTTCCATTTCAAAATTTACGTGATTGATTGTTACAGATTCGTGAATTTTTAAACAAAACTTTGCATGGTATTTGTCAGCGGGATTAATTGAAAAATTATGTTAGTTAGCCAATTACACGAAAAGTAAAATTTACGGCCTTCCAAGTGAATATTTAGAACGTGAAGATCATCAAAGGACTTTTCAAGACATTCGAACCTGATGGGCGCAATTTTACTACTGAAAGAAAGCTGAATGCACTGGATATCAGTTACAACATGGGCGTTAGAAAGTTGCTGGACTCCGGAACCGGTATTGAAAGCAAGGAAAGCTCAACCGCGTACGAAAGCAAATGCCTTGAATCCTAAGGACAATAGAAGTGAACGGACTCTCATGAAAGCTTTCTCAAGTTAATTCTACCAATGAACAACAAAATAGCATTGCAAATGAAAACGAATAGTCGCAGGCTTACCCATCGTTGCTGCAGAAGGTTGCACAGCACGATCAAAGCACTGTTTGCTCAACGAAACTGAAGTTTTGGGATTCTTTTCCCTTTGCTTTGCTGTCTTCTCACAGCTGCTTGCATCGTAATTTCTTCTGGGACAGCATATTATCATAGTTTTCATTCACCCGTACGCTCATTTAGAAATTTTAATTGCAAATATTTCGGGTTAACCTACTGAATGTGGTATATATAGGACACATAACTGCAAAGCACGATCGATCGAGGCATCATTTCTGACTGACTTAGGAAACTATTAGTATGTTATCACCATTAGAGTGGGCAGTTAATTTTTTAAATCATTATTAAAGATTTCTGTCAGTCATTAAAAACACTATTCAAGAAGTCTATTGTAATACGAGAACGACGATTAAGTTAATTCATTGAATCGCTATTAAAGATGTCTGTCAGTGTGAAGTGAGCGCGACGCACAGGACAACACTAAGCTACGGACGGCATTGGTTGTTACTTGCAGATGCATATAGCATGCGCCTACTAGCGAGGAACATACGTACATCAGACAATATGTATCGTCCGTGGCTTAATGCGATGTACCGTGACAATAAGATAATATGTACCGTGGCTTAATGCGATGTACCGTGACAATAAGACAATGTGTACCGCGGCTTAATGCGATGTACCGTGACAATAAGACAATGTGTACTGTGGCTTAATGCGATGTACTGTGACAATAAGATAATGTGTACCGTGGCTTAATGCGATGTACCGTGACAATAAGATAATGTGTACCGTGGCTTAATGCGATGTACCGTGACAATAAGACAATGTGTACCGTGGCTTAATGCAATGTACCGTGACAATAAGACAATGTGTACCGTGGATTAATGCGATGCATCGCTCTCACCGACTTGCGAAGAGCAGGCATCAGACAGATGCCTGAGTTTCACAAAAGTATGTCAAATATTTTTTTATTAAATTACTGTACGAATCAAAAACTTCCTGAAATTGGTGTAGCAATTCTTTTACTTCCAAGCGGAGTTTCTCAATTTTTTAGATTCAGAAAAGATTGTATCGATTCTTTTCAGGTGAAAAGGTGATTCGATTATTTTTCCTTATTTCGGAGTAGGTACTGAATTTAATTTCCGTGAAAAAGGGAATGGAAATTACTTGCCGTCGTGATCTAAAAATAAATTAATACTGGACTGTCAGACCTCACAATTGACAATTTCATGCTAAAAAAAGCGTTGATGTTGCAACCTCGCGGTCGTCTTGATCTCAGACAACTTACTTACCAATACAAAACATAAGTACCGAATGAGCTACCCGGTGTCATCGGTGCAAAACACGAGGGACTGGAACGAGTATAATACAGACATGTTCCTGTGCAAACCAGGTGGGTGACGAAATGAGTTGATAGTAGATATCTCGGTCTCGTTAGACCCCTGTGCTGATAAATCAGTCCCTCATACTTTTTTGAGGAAATATCTTAGGATATTTTTGTTCAGTGCAGGAGCTCAAGGACTATAGAACCGAGTGTTGATGATCATGAAATTAAAAGATCATATAGAATAGAATCGCCTTGTAATTGGAAGAAAGTTTTAGCTGACCATCAATTTTTTTCTCATCGATCCAACCTGCTCGTTTCACTCTATCTCAAACATTTTTGGTTCAGCCATGCCTTCCAATTCCAACTTATACTTTGAACCACAAATTTGAATGAAAAAAAATACCATAACGGCTCCTGTGGGCTTCCTTACATAATTGAATCATTATCCTTCATTTTCCACGTCTATCGTGTTCACGTCTCCAGGCATGACCCTAAAGGATATCAAATCCTTTAATAATATATTATTGAGGTTCTTCTTAATTAACAAAGAGTAGGTGAGGAATTTAAGCTCATTTGGTACCCGATGTCAATGCTGGTCAAGTTCACTAAATACGCTCAATGAGCCCCAGTGAGCTAAAAATCTGAGATTTTTGTCCATTTCTTCCTCGTTACTACTGCCTCCGCATATCATATTATTCAGACTAATCACATTCATCTAGGGTCTTAATTTGTATAAATCCAACAATTGTACAACTATAGGATGTTTAATTCATTGCTGTCACAGCAGCATCGGCGCCCAACGAATTGATTATGAAATTGTCCGATAGATTCAATCACCAGCACTCATTGTAACAGAATCTAGTGTTTCAAAAATAATATCCGCTGAATTGGTTATCCATTAATAATAAATTATCATACTTTGAAGACTTTCGGATAAATGCATTTGGGTAGAAAATCCTTGAATCATCTTAGTTCTAATGTATTTATCTTCTTAGTGAATTAAATTTTCACAATCAACATCACGTCATTAAAATGTTTGTCCAAATTAATTTCTTTCACATTAACTCTGACTACAGATTGATGACTATATGACCTCTTTCTTAATGCGCAACCTTATCATTTGAGGCTTACTGATATTCTCGTACACATACTTTTTCCTGTATGAACCGACATAAATGTCGTGTTAGGCTTTGTATGACAACTTGGTCCATGAATTACTTGCGCAGGAAATATCCTTCGCGCGATTGTCTCGCGATTTCTTGACCGAAGTATTCGATGCCTTTCCAGACTTCAGTAACCTGGCGGCAAAAACAGCCATATTAGAATACTAAAAATGCATGTAACATGGCAGATGCCACGTATGCAGATCAGAAAATCTTATAGAATATGATATCAATTTTCTATAATAAAATTTCACTTCATTTTTTAAAACAATCGTTATAAAAAATAATTTCCTCGATCAGCATTGGTCTTTCAAAAGCGTAGGCCAAAGACGTACCGCTCAAAAAACGAGAATAGATTGTGTGGCACGGTTAATGGGTTTTATGTAATAATTCGAATGTAGTCCAGGCTGCGCTCTGAATATGCTCTGACGTGATAATTCTACACCAAAAAAATTCGGTATATTTTTCGGAACTGATTTCGAGCCCCTAACTTTTTTCTTTTTTCGAGAGGATATGACCATTGAAAACGCGTGAAAAATTCCGCAACAGTTTTCTACAACAGTTTTTCATAATTCCTTAGCATCAGTGCAGATAAATTCATGACACTTACTGCATCATTGATTTTACTAGCAGGGTACAGGAAGCCGTGCTCCCCCTTGTCATGAAGCTCCAGAGTCATGGTGTAAGGAATGCCTATCGAGGATGCCCAGTCCATGCTGATCCCAGACCCTGGGTCTGAAATTAAAATTGTCTTGGAACTGACCACTTATTATCGAAAAATTTAAATTTGTGGCTGATTTATAAAATACCTGTTGGAATGAGAAATAGTGTTCAGTCAAGAATCTATGAGTTAACATTTTCTAAGCGATATCGAGTGTACACGGAAGAAATAACCTATAACCAAATTGTGAGAGAAAATTGCCGTTCTGAAAGCAAGAACACAATCAAATGTTCGACATAATCTTGGTGAAGCATGTCACTAATATAGTGTTATTTTCTCATTTAATTCATTTTTTTTAATCAAGGAGAAATTCATCATTCGAACATTTATTAATTAGCGTTAATACAAGGAGCACTCACAGAAGTTCTTGTAGGTGTCGTAAACCCCAAAGACCGTGCCTCTTGCCTTGCTGATTTCTTTAACCATGCCTTCTCCCATGGCCGTCTGAAACAAAACAGACAAGTAAGCAAATTATCTTTCGCTTAATGAAAAAACATGCTACAGTAAAATGTTATTATTACTTACAATAATTACATACGGAAATTAAATGGCAAACATTTTTTTTACTTGAAATAATTTCCTTATCGAGGATCAGAAAGAGCAATGCCAGGCTCAACTTTGGTGGTTTTCTGTAGATATTATTTTTAAATACGTGTTTTTTACTGCAAAACATCAATTACATTATTTAAGGACGACCGGCGAACACGAATAACCCTCGTACAAAAATGTCTGGTCGAGCTAGAAATATATAAGCTTAATAGCACATATGTATATGAAATCTTTATTCTTATTCAATACTTCTCTTGGTTTGCCTCTGATAAGTATAAGTGTAAGATGTCATGCAGATTATCCAATTATAGCTACACCATGTTGCTACATCACGCTGCTACATCATGTTGCTACACCATGTTGCTAAATACCATGTTGCCATACCATGTTGCCATACCATGTTGCTAAGGTTTGGGTGCTCGTCAGGCTTGTAGGCCCAGGGTAGCAGGATGACCTGGGAGTAGCTGTGCAGCGCCATGTAGCCCTGCGAGTTGCGACAATTTCCAGGCCAGAATGAAAAAAATATGTTTATTGTTGGATGTAACTTTTAGGGTACAATAACTGTTTTTCAGTCATCTAATTGTCCTTATTTATATAGAAGTCGCCAACTTAAACAAAAGAACATGTTGAAATGATCCATCTACAGAATATAAGTTAGAGAGGTAACCTCAATGGAATCCATTTGCTATTGCGAACATTTGTTGAGTTTTACCTTGATATAGGACGGAATTCAGGGCATAAAATGTGTTGACAATTTATGCCCTGAATATAAATTGACAATTTGTTGTCAATTTATATGTCTGCATATAAATTGTCAAGCTTGATCATTCATAATATTCACAATCATTTAAATAATTCACTATTATTATCGGGTTTGATGGCAGAAATAATACAGACCTTGAGCCTACTGCCAACTTCCAAGATGGCGTCCCGCACGGCACGCGTCTCCGGCTCGCTGAAGGCAGATGGTCCGCAGTACTGATAGCTGCAGGGCCGCGAGCTTGCGCCAACACCTTACCAATATTTATGTGTATTTCAGCTGCGGTTTTATTTATTTGTAAAATGAATCATTTTGAGCCTCTCACGAAATACAGTAAATCATAAAGATACTATTTTTGAAAACGAAGCGAGTGGGGACTCAGATTTTAATGTCTGTGTTTCATCTAGACCGAAATTTATTAGATGAAATGCGTTGTCGGCAGAGATGCTTTACTTATTGGCGTTCCTAAGAAAACCTCTTTACCTGCGAAATTTATGTCGAAGTTGCGGTTGAGATCAACTCCTTGGCATCGGCCACTTCCGCTCTTTCGGTTTTTTCTCCATAGACGATTCTGTTTTTAAAATACTTAATATGTTTTCGCTTCAAGATTTACAAAAGATTTTTTTAAACTACTCCAATTTTTTTGTATCACTTAACCACGCAGCGAACACAATTTTTATTATTAAATGAGGGTGCCATTTAGTTCGACCAAGAATGGTAAAACAATAAAATGGCTAAAATTTTAACACAACTTTTAGATTCCTTAAGTAAATTCAACGCATCTTTGAAAATATTTAGCGAAATATTTAGCGTATTTCTTTGCTTTTGAATTCTTCGTTAACATGTATTTTAAGCAAACTATAATCATATCTGAGCTAGTAGATAATAAAACGGCTATCCATAATCACCGACCGTATTCCAGGAGTAAGCGTATCCGTCTGGGTTAACGACTGGAACAATACGCCACTCGACCTGCCGTGCTGGGCTACTGGGCTGTTCCAGCAGTTGCTGGATAGCGTACAAGCTCGTGGACACTGACAGCCACTCCCGGGCGTGCGTGCCTGGCAAAATAGATATGAAAAATCGTTTTCGGTTCGTGAAAATAATATAATATTTCAAATTGATCTTTTGTTCGAGCGGTATGAGTTTATGGAAACATCAACACCTTTTCCGTTTGTGTTCAGGGCATGGATTTAGGAATAAGTTATGAGAAGGAAAAAACTATAGCAGCACATCTGATAGAAATTATCAACTTGGGCCTGGAGCAAAAAATATTATAAAAAACTCTCAGTTATTAATGTTCTTCCACAAAACATAGAGACATTATCTCACGCAGGAACAAAATTACTTTAAATTAGTTAGTAATTAAAATTTATTATTGTTCAAACAATAATACAGTATGTGCATCACAACAGCAATCTTCACCAGAATCGACGAAAACAACGGGAGGTGTGACTGTTCCGTTCAAGGGGACGGTCCGTGAAGGTTTGGGTTTGATGATGACCTGGGAAGTTGCATATTGTTTCATATCAAAACATTCACAATCGGCATTGTTGACTGTGACTGCCTGTCTAGCATCCATTGCATTAAAAAAATTTCCCTCAGACAATGCAAAATTTGTATCCGTTTACTATGATGAAAAGTGTATTTCCCCTAGAAATCGCATCTGGAATTCATTTGGTGAATATTGAAATAATAAATAAAAATTTATGTTATCAGTTCCCACCATGTGAATCGCTGTTCCGTTTTCAGTTTCTCCGATTTGCTTGATTTGTGCCTGACCTGGATACTTGGCTACCAGATCGTGTATAAACTTTTCGATCTGGAAAAAATGTCAGTCTTAAAAAATAAAATCTTTATGTGCAGTCCTTCCGCGGTATACAGAAATAAATTGACAGAAACAGGATCGAAATAAGAGTCTTGGAATTTTGTATAATAAATTATTGTGTAATCAGATTTTTATTTCGAACATTATTAATCACACATAAAATGAAATTTATTTTTATAGAACAAAAAATATGCTCATGCTCAAGTGTTAGCATATATAACTCAAGCAAAGTTTGGTTTCCGAAATAAAACATAATTTGACCTTTATTAAAAAAAATTTGAAAAATGTTTGAAGAAAATAAACTGACAATGTCGAAAATTATTCGTCATACTCTTTTCTGTTGATCGTTCCTATGGAAATCCTGCTGAAATTTCAGTGAATTAGTTAATATTTGTTAAATTAAAATTGTGAGACTTGTCGTACGAGTAGGAAAACATAAAAAAATTATTAGCAATATTCAAATGAAAATTTGATCACGTCTTGTGTGCGCATCGGCCAAGATGTTAACATAAATAGGCTAACTGAAACATTCGATTTCGTTACTATGAAAATGTTACGCGAGAATTTAAATAATATTTCAGCGATTATTTTGAGACAACACTTAAATCAGTGGTTCCCTTACTTTTTCAGGCTGGCTTTAGCGTCCCCCCGCCGAGAGACTCATATAAAAACAAATCCCTCTTTCTTGATATTTAGTATGCTGCAATTTTGAAAGAGAAAGATTAAACACAGATCTTTCCAAAGGCCCCCACAGATCTTTCCATCGCCCCCATGGGGGAGATATCGCCCACTTTGGGAACCACTGACTTAAATTGTAACAGCTGTGCTCACCTCCTGCAGCTCCAGGAAAGTTTCGGTGATTGGGTTGGCCACGCGCACCGGGGAGAGCGTGGAGAAGAATAACCTGTGACAAAATCATGCATGTCCTGAAACATTTTCGATTCATTTTACTTTCTCACTGATGAATCGAGAACGGGATGAGTACACGTTTAAATCTAGAAGAAATTTTTGTTGAAAGTTAATTTATACATCATCGCGACACAACAATTTTAATGCTCGACATCGAGACCTTCTTCCTCGACAATGACTATATATAAAGGGTTATAAAGTCATGTAAATATCTGAAACAACTCAAGTTATGTAAATAACTAAAACAACTCACTTTTCGAGATCCTCTGCTACGACCGAGGCTGTGCAATTGCTTTCTCGCAGTTTCTCCTGAGCTTCATTGACTAGGGGCGGAGCCACGGCCACCTCAACGGGATCTGTTCGAAAATACGCATAAGAGCAATATTTGAGGATGTGGATTAGAATTTAATGGCGGATGACATTCACAAAAGCTTACCGAAACTAGCGTGATTGGGAATTTATTCCGACTCGCACGCAGAAGTAAAGCGCTTGCCCAAAAATACATCATTAGGTTAACTAATTAATTTACAAAGGAAATGTAACATGTAAAATTGGCCGTGTGTTATGGCCGTCTTATCCATTATTTACAGTTAGCATAATAATGAAGGAAGTCTGAATTCGGCTTACCAGTAGTTCCGTCTTCGGACATCAAAACCGCCATTCCATCATCAAACCAGTCGCTTAGCAGCTGCTCTACATCAACACCAGTCGAGCCACAATTAGTGGATAATTGCTGCCACCTGCACGTTATAATGACATTATTACGAGTTCGCATATGACTATGGACCCTTATACAAGTTTAGATTGGATTTACTGTGCACATTTACATCCATAAATCGCTCTAGCAATAACCTCAATATATTTCAAATACTCACAAATTTGGATTTCATTCATGTCATTTGTAAGTTTCGAACATTTATTAAGTGCTTCTATTTATCCACTATATGCAAATGATCAGATAAATATTTTTTTCATAGGCAGCGTTCCATGATTGCTAAAGTTTTATAATGATTGCTGTACTGCCAGCACGATTGTTAGCCGGGCAATCTAGTCATTCGTGAATTAAGGTGTCAGCTGAGGCGGACTACACGCCTCATTCATCCGAGGCTTTTGAATTTTCTAGTTTATTTATTTATCGTTTTTTAATTTATTTATTTATGGTTTTTTAGTTTATCTATTTAAAATTTATTTTGTTTATTTATTTATAGTTTATTTATTATTTATTTATTCATCAGAATTTTTTTTTAATTTTCAATCAGGATTGTCGTCTCTCGTCCACAGGCTTCTAACTAAAATACGGGAAATATTTCATCGGATTCATTTTGCATTCTTGGCAATAATTTAAGCAATTGTATTAAGTGCCAGGCGACAACTACTTATAACTTGATTTGTAACTCATACATGACGATCCCCTTAAACAACGAGTCCGTAAATACAGATCCTGGGTTTCCTCTATGGCCATTAATTAACCTATAGCTGAAGCTTCATTGTTCATCAACATCCTTTCACGCAGACTTGTATCCATGAAAAGTAATCAATAACATTGTGTGCGCATGAAATAAAAGTCATAAATTTCAGTTTATAATGAAAGCTCACCTGGCATATCTGCCCTGCGAGTAGCTCTCATCCAACACCGAGAGCCACGTGTCTTCAGGGTTACGACCATATCGCTCGTAGATGCTCTGAAGATCAAGCTCATTTTCCTTCCCTACTGAAGCTCCTTTTATTACAGCAATGAACGAAGAGGCCAGTAAGAGCAGATGTAAAATGAAGCCAACTGGTATCATTTTGTCTTATTTATCAAGAACAATTTTCGAATTTATGATAGATTTGATGACGCAGAATTTGAAATGGAAAAATCAAACCCCTTAACCAGGTATAATACTATTAAACTGACTGAATCTCGCATTTACAAGATAGAAGATTTCTCACTGGGCCCATAAGCACGAGCGTCCAAACAAAAAACATCAAAGAACGTTTTAAGACGTTCAAACCTGGTCGCATCAATTGGGCAAGTGGAAGAAGTGAAGAAGTGAAACCCATTTTATTGAGCATGGGAAAGTTGGTCGACTCTTAGAACCGGTATCGATAGCCTTATGAAGAGCAGCTCCGTCAACGAGCTCGCTGCACTTTTGTTTCCTTTGATGATCATATACGGCAAATGATTTATTATAGAAACTTCTCTCAAGTTTTCACATAAGGGGAAATTTTATTACATCATTAAAAATTTATATGATTTTAAATATCGAATTATCTAAACACATCAAGCACATCGATCTTAACACACACATCGACATATTTATCTAAACACATAATCGATAAATCGATATATTTAACACACATATCGATCTATTTTTCTAAACTCATCGATAAACACATCGATCAAAAATATTTATCCAATTGATTGCTGAAAAAAAGTAATTTAATTCAACGAGCCAATTGCAGAATATTCATGACGACGGCTGGCGGTGAGTTAACTAAGATTTTTCTAAACGAAATTGAAGATTATATTACTAAAACTTCGATTAAAAATTAATCATTGCTTCGCGTAATTTATTTGAAGGGTAAACGATTCATTATTGAGCTCTTTTAGTGGGTTTTGTCATGTATAAAAAAGCTGGAGAGAAAGGACAATATTTATATTGTTAACAATATTTATATTGTTAGTCATTTATTAACAATTAAACTCCTTTCCGAGAGGATATGATCGCTTGATTGAAGCAGCGAGTTGAGAGTTCGAGACCGCTACTAGATGTGAAAATTCTGATTGAAATCTTCAAGGAGGCTGAGTGCTAACAAATAGGCTACTGGCCAACATGGCCAGTAGCCAGCTGACAATGGCCAGTAGCCAGCTATCTCAATAGCTGACACCGACGTATGTTCTATTTTATATATGTTAATTGATTTTCAATCTTGTTCTAATTGTTTTTAACTTGTAGCTTTAAACATTAACAGAGAATGTCAGTAGTACGTACTAATTACGTAGTAATGAGCTGATTAGTGGACGCGGGATGGGTTAAACAAATAGAGAAAGAACGGTTCATGAATTAAGTAGTTTGTCTTAAATTCATGATATGAATGGTAATGCCACGGATGCTGAATTCCTAATTGGCGGAAAAAATAATTAATTAATTGACGCAGCTTCGATTTTTTTAATGGAATGCCATTTGGCGAGGTATTTTGCACTTCAGAGTAACTATGTGCATTAAACGTCATTTAAAGGAAATCTATATAACAAGCGTCCCATTGTTGAACATTCACTAAACCCTTCATTTTTTCAGATGCAACTCACATTTTAACAATAAACTAACTTTATTCGTCAAGACTTAATCGAAACATGAGGAAATATATCATGAGCGCCTTTGACCAAAAGTGTTGTACTCACGCATTGCTCATTTTACTAAGCTAAGTTACACGGATTAAGTTATCGAAAATTTTATTAAAAGATTAAATTTTCACTCATCAGGTGCCTGTTGATTTGGTGCCGGTGTCACGCGTTGGGATGTTAGTACATTCCTTATAAAGTTGCGTACCTTGCAGTCTACGTCATCTGCGCACTCGTCGTCTTTCCCTGAACTTGAATTGCTGCTCTCTTCACCGGCAGCGCTTCGGTTAACATCTTTTGTGTCTTGTACAGGTTGACGTTCATATATCTGAGATTTTGAGGCTTTCACATCAACTGCGTGAGAGGGAAGTTCGGCCTGAGGATTCCTGACTTGTATCACAATCCCAGCTGCCTGCTGTTCATCAACGTGAGTTTTATTTTTCACCGAAATTGACAACGACCCAACAGGCTTTTCTTCTGTGGGTGTAGCGGTATTATTAGGAACCTTAATTTTAATTAAACCAGGTTCTTGTTCGACGGTCAAATTAATCGCCATGTTCTTATTATTAATTTGGTTCTGGTTCGATAGAACCTCTTCATAAATTTGTAGTAAGAGAGCGAGGCCATTCTCTGTGGTCGGTTCACGGTCCGCAGGCATTTCAACGTCAACCAAAGAAAAATCTTCGTCCTCTTGAGTGAGAAATTCAGATGGGGAAAATATCTTCCTTATCACTTTACCCATGAACTTGATGCCGCAGTAGGTTTCGTTCACCTGCGCAAAAATCAGTATTTTTAACTCGATGTGAGTCATTTCTTTTAGATTATGTGTCTCCTAATGGCTATTCACTCAATACCATTCAAAATTGAACCAATTTTTGGAAAGAGTATTATTTTTTGAGCAGTCGATGTAATTAAAAATTTATCTTGACTCTTTCAGCGTGATAGGAATATGTGAAGATTTAGATGGATCCGAAATAATGCTACACTATTTATTCAAAACTAATAGCTGTCTGAGCACCTTTAATTTTGGAATAATGCCTAAACTTCACCCTCAGAATCTTTTCGTTTCATCGAGGAAGTCTTGCCTAGTTTCATTAAAAATTACCTGGAAATGGAATCTTTCATTGCAGTCATTTTCAATCACCTGCAGTCAGCATAGTATGAACACTCAAAATACTTATCCCAATTGGAATGAAAAAACTTTGTTTTCTTCACATACTACAGGAGTAAAAGTATTTCGACATGTCACGCAGGAAAATGTGACCAAAAATTGCGGGAAAGTAATTTGAGAGGCCATAATAACAAATCATTTTGTTTGCTAAAATATTTTTAAAATTCCAATTAGCGGCAGAAAAAATAGGATACTCACGGCAGAGGCTATTTCACTTTCTGGCCACAGGAAACCGTGTTCGCCCTCGTCTTGCAGCTCAAAGATGAAGCTGTACGGTACGTCCACATCAGCAGCCCAGTCCGCGCTTGTGCCCGACGCCGGATCTGACATTTTGTAATCAAACTTTAACGTCAAGTGTTGAAATTTATTTTAATCTACTGTCAATATATCATCCTAGTCATATATCAGCTTGGCCTCTATATTTAGTAAATAAATTTTAAGCATCGCGGGTTCTGACAACTTATAACTACCAAGTAGTTTGAAACTTACACCTTGTCATGTCGTAAAAAGGTTAAATTTCTTGCATGACTTATAAGAAAACTTTTGGAAAATTTTATAAACTCAAGTTGTATTTTTGCTTGATTTTTCCCCTCTATTTAATTTTAAAGCGTTGAAGCACGCGGTAGATAACGATTTCTCCGTTTTCTTTCTGGCTGAATCACTCACAGAGGTTGAACCACGCTGTGTCCACTTCGAACTTCGTGCCTCTCAGTTCTGAAATCGCTCGAGCGATACCATGAGCCATGTTTGTCTGTAAAATACAAAATTAAATGTAACATAATTTATATTGTAACATTCATATAAATCAAACTAGAGAATGATTTGGTTTGAAATATTGCTGACATTTTTTCTCACAAGTCAGCGCAAGGTTGAATCTTATATAGAGAATGTATATTTTTTTTAACTGATAAATCTTCGAACTCAATCAGACTTTGACTTCCAATCGAGTCAGTGAACTTGCGACCTTAAGATCCTCTCTCCAGATAACACGTGCCCGAAGAATGTTTTGACACAACCCAATGCCATGCTGAAGCACCACCCTCATACACCTCCAGAAACTTAACGATTTAAGTAAATAAAATTCCATTTCATGAGAACCCTTTTAATTTATGCAGTAAAAAACGTCGTTAGTTCAACTAAACTCATTAAATTTTTTAAATGGAAATAAAATAGAACAGCGAATCAAATCAATGCAAATATGTCCTTGTTATCCATATTGTTCAATATTGTTTCCGTAACCCACCAGGTTCTGGGCGTTTGCGTGGCTCTTGGGGCTGTGAGCCCACGGCAGCAGGATGCTCTGCCTGTAGCTGTGCAGCGAAACATATGCCTGAAAAACATTACATTATAAATTATGAATAATGAAACATCAATTCGTTTATAAGTTGGGACAACCAGGAATGATTGCTTTTCGTAGTTGATTGATTGAAATAATTATTTTGAAATATATTATTCAGCTCTAGCTGAAGTTCAGCTTAAACAAAATAAAAAGCGAAATGAGGTAAAGTGAAGCGCGAGTAATCTAAAGTTTCCTTGAAATTAAGATGTTAAAAAACTAACCCACAATAAAGTTAATGTTGAGAAAATTGAAATACTGAAAATTAATCATGAAATACACATTGATTATCATCTTTTAATGTAAATTTAATCTTTTTAAATCTTTTAATCCTAATTTAATATCTTTTTAAATTTTAATGTAAATTCATTTGAGACCTTAAGTCTTTCTCCGGCGTCGTTGACGGCGTCTCGTAGCGCTCGAGTCTCTGGCTCACTGAAGGCGCTGGTGCCGTGATACTCGTCGCTGCATGGGAACTGACTAGCGCCTTTACCTGATAACCATTCACTTGGCATTGTAATGCTTATATTTTCAATATAAGTTAGTATTGGTCCAATCACACTGCCTACCAGATTATTGAATTTATTGAAAATTTTGCAGAAAAATATTCATCGATATTTTTTGGGCTCAAATTTTATAATTGAACAGGCTTGAATGCCTTTCATTTATACCCGTGTAATATCAAACATGAAAAATCTTTGAATTTCACTTTTTAAGAGAAAAATGTTACCTCCAAAATCGACTCCGAAATTCCTGTTCAGGTCGACTCCCACGCAACGGTTGCTGGCAATAGGACGTCTATTCTTCCTCCAGAGGCGATCCTGTTGGGAGTTTTCTTTAGAAACAACAGGTTCTGTTGTACATTTTGCATTTAATATGTTTTCTCTTATTTTCAATATTTACTTTATTTGATACAACTTTTGCTCTAATAGGATATTTTTTCTTACTTCTCAAATTCACATGTACGTGTTTAAAATGTATAAAAATAGGTATAACGGGTATTAAAAAGACATGATTAAAATTTCAAGTTATTCAAACATTTTTAACTATTTTTATATAGAATTCAGTTTGATAATCGCAGATAATTATCACTGATAGAAATTTGCTGATTAATCACTTATAGTATGTAGGAGTGTAAAGTGAAAAGTAGCCATAATGAGTAACAAACAACAAATTTACTATCAGTTTACAAATTATGAAGCCATTAATTGACGTTAACAGAAAAGGTTGCGTCATCTTACATCACGATGAAGATATACTGCAGAGAACATTCCCGAGGGATTAAGATTTGCCTTTTTTTATAAAGTTTACTTATATCTTGAAAAACACGATATCGTAATTTGAGTGCCCAGGGAAATTACAATTCAGTTACAGGAAATACTATTCATTAAATAATGTCTACCAGCGCATAAAAATGGATTCTTCGGAGCTTGAAACAATTTTTTCCCTTCAACAGATATAATTAGTACTAATATCTCAGTTGATAATTCTCAGGAGTAATAGTTGCATACGTGCTTTTAAAATTTTGAAAAATTAACGATCTGAAACTATACGAAAAGCCTCCTGCAGGAAGTAACCTTGTTCCATGTGTAGAAGTAGCCGTCAGGGTTGAGCACCGGCACCACCCGCCACTCGACGCCTCTCGTGGCCTCGTGGTCCTCCAGCAGCGTCTCTATGAGGTGAAGAGCCGTGGCCGTAGACAGCCACTCACGGGCGTGCATGCCTGCGTCAGCAGCCCAGTCAAGAAGGCAGGTTAGCTGAGCTCAAAGATCCGTGTGAGACAAGTTGACCAGCAAAAGTTCAAGTATACATTTCGCTGGCCACCTCAAAACTTTTTTAATGTCAATTAAGATGATATCTTTTTACGGTGAAAATCTAATTCATGCATTTTCCGGCCTCCAGCTGGCCGCTGCATGTGTCCATCCAGTCCAAGGACAGGAGTCTAAACCCAGATTTGATGTCCAGAATTGAAGTTCTTGGTGAAGTGCCAGAAACTAACTCTTTTCCCCATCATTTGATTTTGTGATGAATTATTTTGTATTTTCGTTTGTCGTTTGTCAGTGAGCATTTATTGTCAATTGTATAAGAAGTGCTGCTACCGAATAGGGAACAGAAGACTATATTAAGGCTGCTAAGTGAAACCGAAACGCTAGATTGGTCGAGGTTTAAAATTAAATTTAGTCAATTGAGTGAAAACTTTATTAAAGTAAAGCATTTTATTCACCCGCATATCAAGTAAGGAAACCATACTCGTAATTTTTGTAACAAATTTACTACAAGTCCACACCAATTTGTAGCAGGTAAAACATTGGTAACGCTCGTCGGACTGTCATGACAATCACAAAGTGTCAAAGATGAACCGTGGAATATTCTTGTCTTTGCCTACCGTCTTTGGCAGCTGCTTACCAGCATCGAGCAGCAGAACAGGGAGCGTTGCCGTAGCATTGTCTGGCTGTTCTCCTTTGTTCCGTAATCCCTCACTCAAGATGGACATCTGCAACCAAACACACAACGGGATTAGAATCAAATTTTTATGTTCATGACATCAATGTTTTAACATAAGGCGTCAGTTCCCCAGTGAAAAATATGCAAGTGTTTTATGATATTGGCATTATGCATTTATACTCTCACGATAGTTTAATACTACATCAGAATTTATAGTTTTTTACTTGCGTCGAAGATACCTTATTTTATTTGTCAAGATAAAATTTAATCATTTACTTCAAGGCGGATATTTTTGTAGCACCGTATGCAACATATTTTTTAAATTGAAAGAAAATCGTTTAGCAATCTATTTATATAAATGACACGTGTATATTGGCCACATGGGAATAAAACAAGTGATGAATTCCATTGGAATGGGTTCAATTTTGTGCAATTAAGTTAAATAGCGGGAATAAATTATTTTTAAAATGTGCCTTATAAAATATTCTAACGCTCTTTGCCTATAATTATTGTTAATTTATTGTTAATAACATTATTATAATTATTGCATCGCTCTAATGGCGGTAATGGACATTATGCCTTTTAAGAATTATATTGCTAGAAAAATTCCAAATCCTTGCAAGAAAATTTGAAAAATCCACATTGCTAGTGCAATCATGTTGTCAGTTCAATGTTGATGTTGAAAGAATTTGCGAAGATTATGCTCCATTAATTTATTTTCTAATATATATGGGAGGGTGTACAGTCTCAGTGTCAATTATTTGCCGCATTTATTGTCCTTGTTCATGTATAATACTCATAGACGCATTTTATTCAAGTATGCTAACAAATCTTAAATGCAGTTTATTCTCTCTTTCCTACAGACACGTTCGAGAACGACAACAAGAAATAATATATTGTATCACATCGACTCAATAGTATTCACATTGATTCAAATTGTATCACATTGATTCTATAGGTTGTATCATATCGACTCGATAGATTGTATCGCAGCCACTCGATCACATGTATTCAATAGATTGAATCACATCTACTGATTATCCTAAATGGATTGATTTCATTGTACAAATTTATATTGTCTTTACGCAAGTTGAAAATAGAAAGGAAGATTCTTTATAATTTGTAATTCTTACTGCTACGAGGATCAATGATATCAACCAGTAAATGTGTAGCACAATAGTATACATTTAATCCGATTGTTTTGCTTAATTGCGGTACAAATTCATTTCCTTCAAAATTTAAAAAATCACAATTTTCATGACATATACATTATATCTAATTTACTCCTAATTTACTAATTTTTATTAGCATTAGTCGTCAAATGAATTTCTCTACGCAGAGTAAATTGTTTGTATAAATGGGTGAAAAAGCAGCTGCAAATCAAATCAGTGTCTTGCTTATAAACATTCTGAATGATTGAATATGATATAATATCTGATTCAGAATATAAATATTCTGAATGATTGAGTCAGTAATATGGCTACGGAACCGTGCAAGCAGCCTTGGTCTTCATCAGTGCGTGAAATTTATAATTTGCCTGAAATTAACTTCTCTTTTGTTTGCAAACGTGCTCATCTGCAACGCTGTTGTAGCTCCTAGTTTGCCGTGTTTGTCCTATGACGTCAATGACCAATTAATTTGTTCCTAATTTTCTTCGATCAAATCGCAGCCAATTGTGCAAGAATTTTGTTTGCATGAGTACTTAGAACTGAACTTGAGCCGTTCATTTTCATTTTATATTAGCAAATCCATTAAAAAAGAAACAATCCATTGAAAGAAATCCATTAAAAAAGAACCAAAAAAAAGAAAAAAGAATAAAAGAAATAAAAACAAGTAACCATTTCTCTTAGAAAATCGCTAATTTTTTTCCTAATATCATTTCTACCTGATTAAATAGGCATAATTTCCACATGAAAATTCTAAGCCATTGTCTATCTGAAAGTCGTGATGGAACGCACCTGCAATATCGGTCTCTTCTTAACACTCTCCCCTATTATCGTGAGCTTGGCTTGATCAGGATACTTCTGCTGGAGCTGCTTGAGATGCTCCTCGATCTGAACAAGTTGAACAAAAATTTTAGATGTCAATTAATGTGAACAATGTTGCCAAGCCTAGTGGTTCGTGTTTGAGTTTCGTATAAAATTTAAAGTTATAGCGGAAGTATTGGAATCAAATTTTTACCTCTTATTTTTATTACAAAACAATCTAAAATATATATTTTGTAAATGGTAAAGTTTGTTTGCGTCTTTTTGCGTTGAAGACTGGTGATAGAAATATGCCGGGGCTGATCTGATGCGTATCCATGATATGTAACTTGTCAAAATATCACCAAGATATTTTATTTTTAGTTGCGTAATTTCATGACGTTAAAAAATGGATAGGGAAATTAGATTTACAAGTTAAAATGGATAGGGAAATTAGATTTACAAGTTTTTTGTTGGAATGGTGAGTGGGTGGGGGAGGCCTTTTTTAAAAAAAAAAAAAAAAAAAGTTAAAATGTCAATTTTACCTAGGTAAGTGTAAATTTAGTTCATAAAAAAGTTTATAATGCGTTAAAATTTAACTTCAATCGCGGTACTTAGTTCCCAGTAACTGTGTTATTGGGATTATGAGATTCGGAATTACCGGAATCGGAATGACGGGATCTTAAATTGGAAAAATCACCTATCCTAGTCAATGCTTGGCTAACCTTCTAGTAGCGAATATTTTTAATTTAATGTGAATTATTATTTTTACGATTAATTAATTATTAGTATAAAATATCATTGATCCCATTCATATCAAAAAATCTTTCTCTAAATTAAAAATCACATGGTTTTCCGGAAATTTCTTTGAAATCAGCAATCTTTTTCTAATGGAGGTAATTTTCAGCTCTATAAAACGAAATGAAACCATTACAGATAAATAAAAGTATTCTTCCATGATTAAATTCGTAAATAGATTAAGTTTTCGTCTCGCTTCACCTCATTCAGTTGAAAGAACTTTTCTGTGACCAGCCCAGACGTGCGTCCTCGGGAAAATGTCCTCCTGATTGTACTGAAAAAATTTTCGCAATATAAGTAAAACAACAATTTTTTTAAATGATCAAACTAAATGTATTCGCTGTGTCTGTGGACTAGATAGAAATATTAAATCAAACAATGCATACTTTTGACCATTTATCAGCTTAAATTCTAATAAATATGAAGCCAAGCAAATCGATATAATGCCAATTTGAGAGTAAACTCCAGTGAAAACCCATTTAGATGTTAACTTCACTGGAGACGTCGTAGGTTCATATGCTTATATCCAGTGAAAAAAGCGATTATGCTACATTTATTAGGGGGAACCACCTCTTCTTGCCATTCTAAACAATTGGTAATTTCATTATTAATAAATATTTTCAAAATATAATAAACTTTTCCACGCTAATATATAAGATTTTAAATAAGTTTGAAGTTCAGCAGTGAAAAATGTAATAAATTCCAGTTCATTATCACTTCAAATGATTGTGCCTGTGTTAGAACATTGCCATGAGTTTAGTGAAGCAGTTATTATTACGTCTCTATGTCGTCGTCAGAGACGGAGACCGTGAAGCTTGCAGCACCGAGAAGCTGCAGAACCTCGTCGAGGATGGGAGGAGCGACAGCGATGTCGGCTGACCCTGCGGCAAGTAACTCGGTATTGCACAGTAGTTCGGGCGAGTGTAACAAGATTCTGCTACATATTACACTAAGTTTCCTAAATTCTTTACACTACACTGCTCATCATTTTCCTAATCATTCATCATTTAGAATTTTGAGAATTGTGATTATTTGTTGGGATTTTGAAAAAGTTAGTTTGTTACTCAATTTTTAGCTGGATTACTTCATGTCGAGATAAACGACATAACATATCTCATTTAAAAAAAATGCCTTACAGTCATTTCGATCATTTAAAACTCAACCTAAAGAACCAATAATGAAGTCAAGGTTTTTTAATGCACAAGAAGATAATGCATAGGCATAGATCAATTGCGTTCCTATGATATTTTACAACAAATTCCTTTAAGGTAATTTCAAATCAAAATTAATTTAAATGTGAACACTGATGGATTAAAGTGACCGGACGCCCTGTGTACCTGCTGGTCCCTCTGAGGCGACGACCACCACACCGTCGTCCATGTAGCGCGCGAGCCGCCGCTCGATGTCGTCCTCCGCACCGCAACACACGAACAGCTTCTTCCACCTGTAGCCGGGGCAAGCCAACGAACAAATTATAGAGCAGGTAATGAGGTCTTCAACATGAAGAGACCATAACATGAGTAACAAAACTATCATCAACGACAGACCCAACACATGATTATGAGGCCAAATATGAGCGAGAGACCCAATACATCTGTACGAGACTCAATATGAGTATGAGACCCAATATGAGCGAGAGACCCAACACATAAGTAAGAGACTCAATATGAGTATGAGACCCTACATGAGCGAGAGACCCAACACATAAGTAAGAGACCTTATATGAGTATGAGACCCAACATGAGCGAGAGACCCAACACATATGTAAGAGACTTAATATGAGTATGAGACCCAACATTACTACAAGACCGCAACATGAATAAAAGATCTGAAGACATGAAAAAACATGCTTCGGGCCAGGAAAGCCCGGATCAAATTATTCAGTTCTTAAGAAAGGTTTCTTGATGGATTGGGGTAGAAGAAATCTTCTGCATGACAGAAAATAAAAACCTATAAAATGGGTTTTCATTATGTAACTGCTTTATTTTTATTCATCTAATACATATTCCATCATGTGTACTCGTCTGATCAAAGCATTTAATATCCATGTGTTAATCAAACGTAACCCCGTGACGACTTTTTGTGTCAAGACATTATTGAGATGGAATCTCAAGTAAGATTAACATAAGACCACAATATTAGCATAATATATATGCTGTCCAATTGTTACAATAGGTATTAGTGTTAAAGTGTTATAAATTTAGTCAAAGAATGACACTGCATGAAACCTTGAACAAAATATCTGATCAGAGTAGTTTTTATCGGGAGCTTAACCTTCTCATTCAACCCTTCGGTTCTGAATTGCATCTCTTTTCGATTGAAATTCAGCTGAAATTTAATAAATCACATCAATATAAATAAAGCATCGAGAAGCTAAGGGATTGTTCATCCCCACTGTGATTGTTCATCCAATATCACCCACTTAACAAAATAACCTGCTATTAATGCACTATCTAAAAATATATGTATACTGGTTGTGTGGTGTTTAATGTTTCTTCATCATGTCACGGATACCATGCATATATAACTGCTCATCAGAGCATCAAGGCAATTTTTTCAGTGTTCATTTATCATATTACCCAAGCATCCTTCACATTCCGGCCATGCCGATCGAGTAGCCTAACTGCGTCGAGCGCACTGTACCGCAAGTTTAGCGTACTTTTCTAATACAATTTTTTAGTGCCTTGATGATTGCCAGACTCAGAAAATCTCCTAGAATTGTCGAAAAATGATTTTACTTCCACTCACATGACAGAAATTTCCAATATCTTCAGAGCTTATAATAGAGCAAGTATCATCATCGGACTCATGCTCTACAAATCACAATTGAGATCATAAATACGACCTTGTCATCTCTTTAAGTTTGATTTCGTTGAATCTCCATGTAGCCTAATTTATGTAGCCACATTCACACCAATTAAATTAACAAAATTCTGATGCAAATTTTAGCGGAAAATGTGAGAATGACTTACCCAGAATACCGGCCTTCCGAGTAGCTGTCATCATGAACTGACAGCCAAGTTTCGTTGGACTTGCGTCCATAGCGCTCGTAAATTTTCTCCATGTTTAATTCGTTGTTCGCAGGCAAGGAATTGGCATCTCCCACCAGCTTCAGTGCAATTAATACTAAGAGTTGCAACACAGGCTGCATGTCTGGAGGGAATATTTTTATACGCTGGCTCGAATTTGTAAGCTACTTTGTGAATATGAAAAGAAAAAAAGTATGTTCTGATCTGATGAATACACGAAAGTTTAATTTTTATGCATAGTAACCAATTGAGCTAAGCATCACTAAGAGTTCCAAAATAACCCAACAATAGTTATGACGCGCTCTAAACGCCACTTACTTTAAGAAAAAATCCGACTCATGAAGTAGTTCAGAACAAAATCGACTCGTACTGAACTAAAGGCATTTTGCCTCCCTTAAAATTACTCGTGGCGTGTTATCGGTGGCAATACAGAAAAGGCAATTCGCCGCCTCATTGCCGCGTTGGTAACCAAAAGAGTGATCGCGCCCAAGCAACCTTGATGAAATCCTCTACAACTCGAGGGGGCAATTATGAGAAGAGGTTAGACTTAGTGGACTCCATTCTCTTGACCTGCGAGCAAAGGAAGGCAGGTGAACCGATATTTTTTACTGCTTTGCTTGCCACTTTTAGTCGCCTGCTGCAAGTGATGGTTCACCTTGGCCTCTGATGTTTTAGATTCACAAACTTCTGATTTACGATAATTGTTATTGAATCATTAAAATTATAAATTACTCCCTTAAACAAAATTAATTATTAGTAAATTTCTGATATTAATATTTTTATTTTACTTTATTTCATTTTTCAATAAATTAGGAATGACCGACGGAATCATTTTGCTCCTAATTTCCTGCATTGAATGTAAGTAGAATTAATAACCCAATGCAAAGTATGGCCTTCCAATTTGTGATAAACTACTAATCATGGCCTTAAGCTGGAGAATCCGAGGAAAATTATTTGGCTCGTACTGACTCAAAATATGATCTTCAATAATATTAACAGAAATTTAACATTTCTTTCGTCTTTTCATTATTTAATTCAAAGCTCCACAAATAAATTAATTTCATTCGAAGACAATTCCTCTTATCTGAATTTTATTGATGAATCGTCACCCGTTGATGAATTAACAATTGGAATTGCACGAGAATAATGGACTGAGATCAGATCTCCTGGACCTTATGGAGTCAGCCATCACTCGGCTTGTCACAAAGCCATCGCGTCGAAAGCTGGCCCACGTTGGAGGGCGGCGTCTATATAGCCTCGCTTCGGCTTAACTTACTTTAAACCGAGCCTTGCTTTCCCTTAACCGGTTTGAGAGCCCTGGTTGCTTTCGATTTCTGTTCGCTGCTAACTATCGATGAGATTTTATTCGCTACATTTCTTGCAGAGGCTGGGTTTTGCTCTGTAATCTGTATCGACTTTTACTTTCACTGAGACTGGAATATCTCTAGCTTCGGTTACGGTTCTGCCCAATTTTTCAGTTCAAAGGGTGTTTTCGGCTTTTTTATGAGACTTTTATACTATTATATTTATTATATTTTGAAGACTTTTATATTATGGAATTAAAGTAGCGCGTCACCGATATAAAGTAATAAAACCTTATTTTTTTACTCACAAAACAACCCAATTTTTGTTAGCAAAAAGTTGCTGACAGACCAAGAAACTCAATCGAGTTTATAACAGCGTCTTCCTTCGTTCAAAGACTCTTATCATCATGCACTGAAGTACCTATGTTTTAATCAACGTATTCACTTCATCATAATGGCATGCAGAAATTCTTTCGATATCTACATCTCTCTAGGTACAGTTACTCTTTAAAGGTAATAGACACACACGTGTCATAATTTTTTTACTTATGCCAAAAAACATTTTGAGTAGAAATTCACTTTCTTCGGATGAAATTCCTTAATTGTGACCACTTTTACGTTCGGGCGAGAGCAGTGACTTATCAATAATTATAGCTACATCTTTCGTTCTATTCTCGTTGCGTCATCTTCTTATCACCGTAATTATCGCCTTATTTGCGACCACTTTTTCTCATTCTATTATCAATTCTATCCTTATAATTGAATATATTAGTCGCACGTACTGTTGTAGATTAGACTATTAGACTAACTACTATTAGATTTTTCCTAAGTAAAATTTTTCCATTACACATTTGGTAGCCAATATTGTATGATATTAGTACACTAAAATATCAACCCGACGCCCTTAATTAGAAATAAAGATACCTATAAAACAAGAAATTTGGAACCGTCATTCGGAAGCGTCAAATATTTTCACGGTTCCGAATGAATGAAAATGTAGCGAAGACGACATTAATTATTGAAACACTACCAGCACGATGACCTTCGGGTACGCCATGAGGCAATCTATCATTCAAAAAAAGTAATTAAGAAATTTGATAATTTATTCGAATTTTCCACGAAATTTGCTTTAACGAAATGCTGAGTGCAATTTTTAAGTTTAAATCATCATTTCATCCTTGAAACCGTATTCGTATATCATACGTTTTTTTATCTCACTCATCAAAATTAGTGCTAAACTTTTGGCCACATTGCTCGAATTAAAAAATGTTAATTTATCCCTCATACCTACTCATCAGCCGACGTCAACGTAAATTCGACCCCTAAGCTCTCACAAATACTCATATACACCCATTTCATCTCCGCTCCATATAAATCGTCAATTCTTCATACCAGTTATTTTTTATCCTCGCTCTTCATTTCCTTAGCCCGATTCGAACAGAGTTCATGGCTACGATTGAGCCTTTTTATCGCCCTTCATTTAGTTATTTCATCTCACCATTCGTTACCGAGCTTTAATTTAGTTAATCATGCATCTACGATCATTTGTTTCTTCTTCGCCTCGCGCTTCGTTAACGAGCCAATCCCAGCAAGCATCACCTCTAATGGTTGCGGGGTGAACCTGTTACCTGAGACACGTCCAAGCTTTTCACTCTAAGTTCTGGCACCATAAATCCTTCATCCGGTGATAAAGGGCAGAGTTGCTGCAATACCGTGACGCTCTCAGAAGGGGTCTGAAGATGAACGTCAGTGAGCACCTTTGACTGCGTGAGTTTATTTTGTTCTCTTTGGATCCAAATAGCTTTTCTCGCCCTTGCTAGCTGTGTGAATTTGCCATAAAGGCTAACCTTCATAGCTCGTCAGCTTTTGAATCGTGGAATGAATTGTATTATTTTTAAAGAATGATATATGAATGGATGGGAAAATGTCGTGATTGTTCTGGTAAAGATATGACATTACAAGATTCTTAAATGATAATAAATAATTGCCCTCGCAATGAAAAATTCTATTTTTGTCTTAGTTTTTTCTAGGAAAGGTTCAATTAACGTGTCATCCTAAGCTTTAATTCAACCAGCATCAACAGAAAGTGAGGATGGAATTCATTAAATGCTCATTCTTGCATGGCCTAGACAGTGCAATGGTTCCCACACGCTTCGTAGTTTTTATGCTCTCGCCTGGAATTTACGATAAACTTTAATATTAACGATGCTATTCGCCCTACATGGCTTCTAGACAAATACATGCTCATTATTACCAATGCAAATTTCTATTTTTTTAATATATTAATTTCACGCTATGGTACTGATTGTTTTTCATTAATTCAGCAATCATTTGTATTTGAGTCCATTTTCACAACTTCCATCAGTAGTATAGAGACCGAGCGCATGGCGCCATTTTCCATAAACAGCTTAAATTATAGTTTACCAATCATTTACCCCAAATCTTACCCAACAAAATTACCAATTACCCGTGATCCTAAAATATTATTACGAACATTTACCCCCGAATCTGCATAAACAGGGTACCGATCATTTACACAATAAAATTAAGCAATTACTCCCGAATCATGAGTTAACCCCGATTTTACTACACTCTTTAACCGAAAATAACCTAGAGCGATTGCCTGAAAAATACTTCTGTGGAATATATAATTGATTTAAATTTTTGAAATAAGAAGCTAATTTTGATAGCTCACTCAGCTGTTAGCTGGGGGCACACCATGGAAAAAAAACTGACTCAAGGTTTCAAGCTGGTTTGACTCGAATGACTCAAGCCTGGTAAATGACTCAAATGACTCAATCGGGGTAAATGGTCGTTAACTCATGATTCGGGAGTAATTGGTTAATTTTGTTGGGCAAGATTCATGATCGGTACCCTGTTAAGCTGTTTATGCAGATTCGGGGTAATTGTTCGTAATAATATTGAAGGATCACGGGTAATTGGTAATTTTGTTGGGTAAGATTTGGGGTAAATGATTGGTAAACTATAATTTAAGCTGTTTATGGAAAATGGCGCCATGCGCTCGGTCTCTATACTACTTCCATCAAAGTTGACATCGCTGTTTTTTATATTCATCCATCAAAAACGCTGCATTAAAAGAGTTAACGAATGATATAATGTAAATACGTACTTAAATTCTGATCAACTTTCATAGCGCATTGCTTTGCAATTTCAATATACTGAAGAGCATATGGCTCTTCACTTCGGCAAAAAACAGGCAAGACTCGCATTTATTTGAGGGAGCTGGAAAATAGGCTCATTTAATCAAAAAGGGATTATCATTCAATGATTAAGTGCGAAGTTCAAAGGTCTCAAGCTTAGAGCAAGATCCTTCCTATCTTTCACGGAGATCGAGCAGGTCTAATGAAAGTCATCGTTCGTACGCAGGCAAGGCTACCTACCTGTTGCCTAACCCTACAAAAACGATCGCTTGTCTGTCGTTGCATGCATCGTTAAGCGCTGCATCTTCTTCGCTGCAGTTTATACTGGAGTGCTTGGTAACCTCATTAAAAGCAATCGTGACTACGTAGTTAACTGCGTAGAAGGGGAGTTAGGGGAGTTGTTATGGTACTCCTGCACGTCGTTAGGCTTGGGGATATATAATAAATAATATTAAGACCGACGTAAGTTGAACATGAATGCGATTTCAATTCGGGGTCATTGGAATAATGATTCAATACGACATTGAAGGAATAAGTTCTTCGTTCATTTGCAAATTATTAAATTAAAATGTTGTAGATAAATTGAGTAAAAGAATGAAATGGACATAACTTAAATGAATTTTTTCCTAAATTTTATGATCACAGAATTTAATTCTGCCACTTGATTCAAATATTGTTCATTTATAATTCGAAACATATATCACACGTACGTTAAATGTCAGTGTAACGCTCAGCAGGAAGTTCTAG